CTGTCAAAGTCATCTACTCCGTCCGTTATCCTTTTTCTTGCAGGATACGGTTTTGGCTCAGAAAGTGAGTGAGTGCTCCTATATTCCTTAATGATCCTATAAACACTGGACCGACATACTCCAGAAATATGTGCTACCTTACATATAACTTCGTCCACGACCAAATCGGGTTTTTTTTGAATTTGGTTTTTGTATATATTTAATATTATTTGTTTTTCATTTGCACTTAAATGTAGCTTCTTAGCCCTTTTTTTGGGTGGAGTTGCGCTGATGTCAACCACTTCGTCGGCTGTATCTGTGTCAGACATCGTATCTTAGGCAATATATAAACAAAACGTTCCACTCGCGAAAAACGAGTATACGCTACTGAATGCGTAATGCGTATGCAATGCAATTCTGTGCGTGAATTAACTGTTAGATGCCTGTCGTGTCATCCACAATCACGTTTACAAGTCCAAACCTGTGCAGATTCGTAGAGCGCCGACGACTGCTAGTGACCTTGAATTTGTCTGTAGATCGATGTTACTCCAGTCAATTTAGGTTCAAAGTGGATGTTTTCTAAACCAATTTGTTGTTCCTACATCAAAAATATATCTATGATGTTTTGTACTGGGAGCTCATGAAAGATCAAGGTAACTTATTTTAACAGTCATCCTTTTTCTAGTCTCAAGATGACACGAAAAAGGGTCTGTGGATTCACTAGAAATACACTGCCGAGGATGTTTAGACCTAAAGTGACTGGAGTATATCCGTGGATGCTTTCGAGGGATCTGTTCACGTGCTGATCACTGTTTACGTTTAATGTCTTTCTTCAGCGCCCAGAGTTTAGAGTACGGAGACCTGTACGATTTCGTCAACTTAGTGAGTTTGAAAGGGGCCGTATAGTGGGACTTCGGGAAGCTGGACTTTCTATTCGGGCAATTGCAGTTAGAGTGCAAAGAAGTGTAGACACTGTGGTTAGGTGTTGTCAGGCATGGCTTCGAGAAGGCCGTACGCAAAGAGCAAGGGGCACTGGACGCCGCCGTAGAACAACAGACCGTTAAGATCGCCGCCTAAGATTATTGGCCTTAAGGGACCGTTTCTCCACTACCAGGTCCATTGCAAATGAATGGTTTGCAGAACACGGAAGACCTATTGGCATGGGAAGTGTTTACCGACGAATGAGAAGTTTTGGCTTGTTTTCATACCGGCCACACTGGGTCCTCCCTTTAACTCGAGAACACCGACGTAATCGCCTTGAGTGGTGCAGACAACGGTCACTCTGGGATCAGGAATGGCACAGTATTGTCTTTAGTGACGAGTCTCGATTTTGTTTAGGCATGCACGATCGTCGTGCCAGGGTTAGAAGGCGACGTGGTGAAAGGAGGAATCCACAGTTTTTTGTTGAAAGACATGTTCATCACACTGTTGGAGTTATGGTTTGGGGTGCTATAGCTTATGGTTCCAGGTCACCTCTAATCTTCATCAGAGGTAACATAAACGCGCAGCGTTATATCCACGAAGTTCTAGAACCCCATCTTTTACCCTATCTTGACACCCTGGCAGATCCAACTGTCCAACAAGATAATGCCCGACCACATGTTGCAAGAGTCACAATAGACTTCTTTCAACATAATGATGTCACATTGTTACCATGGCCACCAAGATCTCCCGACTTATCCCCAATTGAGCACGTGTGGGATATGATGGGTAGGAGATTGCTCAATTTGCAACGTCCTCCTCAGACTCTAGAAGCACTTCGAGAGGAGTTGGTGGTTGCCTGGAATGAAATACCACAGGAGGACATTGACCACCTGACCAGAAGCATGCCTAGGCGCGTTGGAGAATGCGCAGCACATCAGGGTGCATCCACACATTATTAAAGGTCAAAGGGCTTTAAAGCAGTGCAATCATTTTGAAATTTTTATCATTTACTTATTATGCTTCATTAAGTACTTATACAAAATTTTATTAAAATAAAACCATTTAAACTGGGTGTTCGGATTTATATGTCACTTAGTATATAAACGATTTCGGGAAAATTCGGTTTGTTTCGTTTATCTCCGGAATTATGTACTCGGAATTGCGAAACTATAGGTTTCTTCGGGTTTTTATTATTACTGTTCTAGAACTATCAGGAGCATGCGCGGAAGAAACGAACCTGTTCGGGTTTTTGTTGGATTATTTTCGGACCGTTTTCGAACTGAAATTTGCTGTTCGAGTTATACCGTGGTTCAGTTCTAGGATGGTCCGCGAATCGTTCAAGCAGTTCTTGCTTCACTGCCGGGACCATTGTTGAACTGATTTTTCACGGATGCGTATTCCTTCTGCCAATGTCACTAAAATCAGTCTTGTGTGTTTTGTCATTAAATTTATTTGACGTTTGACGTGTTGTGCTTTGATGCTGTTTACTTTTTGCGGTTTGAGGAGTGTTTTTTATCTAAAATTAAAAGAAAAGTGGATAAATGGATCCAATGCAGATCATTTTTGATTCCGATTCGTCATCATCATCGTCGTCTGACAGTGTTGATGAACTTGAGGCAGTTATTTCCAACTTATTTTTGCCAGAGCTTCTCAAAGATGTGATCAAAAATAATAATTTCTGTGAGGAAACTGTTCCTTCCTATACTGACAAACAGTTTGTTGAGCTTTCGCTTTCCGAGGTCTTCCCCTTTACGCATTCAGTCTTGCGCGGTTCCAGAACCGTTCCGTTACAGTACTGAATTTTGAACCCGAAAATACCTATTCTGTGCCATTTTCTTAGTTACCTAAATTCTTCGTTTGGGTTCTGCGTTTTTTTAGTTTCACAAAACTAAATATAAAAATGTCCAGGACTTGACCGGCTTATGCAAAGTGTAGATGCGTAGGCAACCATTTATACACATTACACCAAATAAACGGTACAGAGCAGGCTTATGCATTGGAAGGATCAGACTTTTTGGTCAAAAATGACTCGAAGATATTTTGCCTCACTAGCAGAAATAATCTCTACACCATGCAGGGCGTGAGTCGTTGCAGTAGTACCCACCCGCCTTCGTGTCAAATTTAATTGAACTAACATCCAACTTGCACCCCTGGTTATTTTATTAGCAATGCCACCTACACCTTCCGCCGGTAAATCCGCTATATAACCATAAATCTGTGAACAGCTTGTACGTTTTGTTGAGATTTTTGCCTCAAAGATATTTTATACACTCCCAAATAAACACCGAGAACTTATTTTTATAAACTGTATGTATCATGGACTGAAAATAATAAAAAATTAATCAACGAGGAAAAGGATATTAATCAGACTTGGTGATGACTAGCAAATTGGTGTAAATTTAAAATCGGGCAACCAATAGCGACTCCGTTTGTAAACATACGGGATCCGAATCCGTTGATGAGTACCAAATTTTCAGAAGAAACATAAACATACATCGGTTGACGGCTATTATAAACAGATTCACATGGCTCTGTTTATAATTTAGATATTTAAGTGTTTTACTTGTGTATACAAGGTTCGTTAAGTGTTTATGCGGCGGTAATAGACACGCATATATACGTTGTATCTGCTGCTGTATATGCGGCTTTAACATTTAGATACCCCTAATAATTGATCGGACAAAGACGGTTTGCTACGAGGAGAAGTCTGAAAATATTGAAAATCAAGGACTTTTTTTTAGGTCAAAGGAACAGGTAATGTTGCGTCTTGTAGAACTTCGAATTTCGCTGTTTTTTCACATGAAGCTCAAAGAGGTAGGTAGTCCGATAGATCATTTTAAATGAAAAAAAAGTGTGGATGAAGCACGCTAGAACATTTTTTCCTAAAACACTGTATTTTTAGCAGTTATTTTCATCATTATTGCCACCGCTATCAGCCATATGACATTGAAGTCTGTGCATATGTCATGAATGAGAGGCGCTTGCCTGCGGTGTTGCCGGATTGGGCTCCGCATTTAGGGAAAAATATGAAAAGTGGAAAATTTATAATACATATATTAATTAATGAAACACAAAAACGAAAAACTGAAACAAACAATAGTGGCAAAATAAAAAGCGATTCTGAATAAGTATAAAACAAAAAATAACGATAGTAACGCAAAAAACAATAAACTGTCAATACTTATAAAAAATAAAAACAGTAGTAAAACAAAAAACTATTCCATGTAATTATAAAAACAAATAACAAATAGTAAAATAAAAAGCATTTTTTTATAATTACATGGAATTGTTTCTCATTTTTTGTTATCACTCAGAATTTTAATTTGCTGTTTGTAATTTTTTGTTTTTTACAATTCATTGTGTTTTAGCTTACTACTGTTATTTTTTGATTTATACTTATTAAGAACCGCTTTTTATTTTGCTATTATTGTTTGTTTCAGTTTTTCCTTTTAATGTTTCATTGATTAATATAAATGTATATAGATTTTCCACTTTTCATTTTCCCTAAATGCGGAGCCCAATCCGGCAACACCGCAGGCAACGTCGTTTTATGGCAGATGGCGGTGTAAAATAATGGTAGAATAACTGCTAAAAATACGTGTTTTGGGAAGAAAATGCATGAAAAGCGTGCTTCATCCACACTTTTTTTATTTAAAATAATCTATCAGACTACCCTCTAGAAGTTTCAAGGGGAAAAACAGTGAAATCCGAAGTTCTACAAGACGTAACAGTATCCAAAGAACAATGTTAAAAATATAACTATTTTTATATTTACACATATATTTTTCTGAATTTTATGATCTTTGAATGTACCTCCCATTTTTCATTTATGTTACGCCATCTATGATGGTTCTTTGAATATTGCGTCAAGTAGATTGACTCAGTACTTATGACGCGTTGATAATAAATACAACATACACGGTCTGACATCCCTTTTCTTCAAAAGTGGTACGCTTTGCTAGACTACTAAAGCAGAAATCCACAAGCAGGCTCAACTTTAAGATTGTCCTTTGGAGTTTTGTTTCCCGTTGTTGCAATCGAGTGAAAGACGCAATCTTTACAAGACGGTTTTAGTAAAGTCAAAATTCTCCGTTGAGACTCCCAGGTGGCCACCATATCTTCAGTGCCGTCACCATCTGATCCAAGCCTCGCAATCCACCAACAAGCTACCGGAGGAAAACGGAAACGATCATGGTCCCGAGCAGTTTTCAGCAATCTGCAACGCAAAGGCTTGGAACGGAGGTTCCAGCTGCAAAAATATATCACGAAACCGGACAGGAGACAGTTGGCTGCTACCTTGGGACTCACCGATGCTCAGGTTAAGGTGTGGTTCCAGAACAGGAGAATGAAATGGCGGCATTCCAAGGAGGCGGGGTTACAGGTATTTTGTGCAATTTTAACATATACAGGGTGATTCACACGGAGTGACCAAAAATGAAACATCATACACAGGACCGATTGGGGGGTCTTCTATGTAACATTTTTTCCTGAAGGGCATTAAAAAGATATAAATAAAATGATTTTTATTTTTCAAATTCAACATCCCGTATCTTTTGAATGAAGCCTTCGAGGTTACATAGAAGACCTCTCTTAAAATGCAGTCATGTGTATGATTTTTCATTTTTGGTCACGCCTTGTGAATCACCCTGTATACATCTTTATTGTAACAGGAAGATCTCACTATGATACCTAAAGTCGAAATCACGAAACATGATTACGTCATCATTTTATTCCAGTAAAGACAAACGACAGCGAATTGTGAATATTTTTAATGAAGTTTAAGATATGTTAGACAGTGACAAACATAATTTTATTCTCTAAACAAACTGTATTGCTAATTTGCATGTATCCGACAAAGATAGACGATGTTTTCATGTTGCATGATCGATCATATTTGAAAGATGAATTGTTAGGTTATGTTAAATCAGGTTAGGTTGTTTTCGAATAATACTTTGGTCTTTGGTGTTCCGGTCTTAAGGTATTCTACTCATAACTGTTTTTTTTTCAAACCAAAAACTCCCCACTAAAATTATTATTATTATTATGGCATCACTCAAAACCATGAAATAAAATGAAAATAAAAATAATCAGTGAAATAACCTAACTTCGCAAAATCATAATATGAATTTGTTGTCATTATGTTCCTGAAATTGTGATTTTATCATCGACGTACGTCCATTGATTACTTCAGTACAATTTATGGTATGATGTAATAGTCATCTTTCGTGACTTTGACTATAAATTAAACGTAAAAGAAACTCTTACGGGTTTGAATATATCTAATGAAATTATGTGGGAAAAACTTTCTTCAGGGAGATAGCACGTCTTCGGCAGCGGCTGCAGCAGATTCTACGCAAGATCAAGAAATACACGTGGATGTAGACAGTGGAGGATCTTCGTGAGAAAAATCTGTCTTCATTTGGGAACAAAATCGTACTTGTTGAAATAATATGGACAGATGAACTTGTGGGAAACGAATATCAACGCGAACCCACGGAAGTTTATGGAATCAAGACACACGATTCTGGAATTACTGTTTTTTAAAACATTAATTACAATAAATTGTACTTTGGTTGAAGAGAATAAATAAATGATGAGTGTTCGAGTAGTTATAGGATGCTTTCAATATGATACTGATATCCCGGGTCCCAAATTCTCATTGTAAAAAGCTTCGCTCGCATGTAGCCACCGATAATAACATGGATTTTTAGTACATTTGAGTCGCCCAAAAACCTAGTTTTGGAATTTTCCACTAAATAATTATATCTACATGATAAACGGGATCAGATTCATGTGAAATAAAGTCGGAAGTCATTTGAACCGTATTTACATTTTTACATACCGTATACATAAAATTGCAACAATGGGTCAGTCAGGAACGTGAGTTCAACCATTCTTATAACACGTTTTTTTTGCCGCTGAAACAGAATCCGGGGGCCATTCAGTCCAAAAACGCCTCGTTTTCAATATAATTGCATCGATGTTTAATTTACGATGTTTGCATTCCTAAACAGAAACACTAAATACCAACTTTCCATCTCTTTATACATATTACATATATATATGTATATATATATATATATATATATATACACAGGGGTGACTTCGAAGTTGAGTCATTTATTTTAACAGTGAGTAGATGTGATCAAAAGAAATGTTTTTTTCCTTTACCATTTTTCTGGTAAAATTAAAGTAACAAAGTTATAGCCCTTTGGAAGTTTGAGTACCGCCCTGTCTCAATAATAATATTATGTGCTCGTGTTTGGCAACAACGGATATAATCCGCCTTATCGGTTCATCGCATCGGAAACAAAAAAGCGAAAGAATTTGGAACGATGTTTTTACAATTATTTTATTCAGTTGTATACAGTCAGTATCAGTCGGTAACGCGTGAGTGAATAGTGGTGTCTGTTGCGTGGCTCAAACGAAATAAAAAATGGCACATGTTTATGCGGATCGGTTTCCCAATCGAGTGCAACCAACCCCTCGTGCCTTTGTTAATGTAGTACAACGGGCTCGTGAATCAGGTGACTTAAGACCTCACAGGGGACGGCATGCCGGTGCTCCAAGACCTCACGATCAAATACAGGTCCGCACTGAAATACTTGTCGGGAGGATACTTTATAAAACAAGGTAAAATATTTAATTTTATTTTTACACACATATTTTGGTTTATCTTCCTTCTACAATCATTATCTGAAAATTAATGACTCAACTTCAAAGTCACCCTGTATATATATATATATAAATCTGTTCTAAATTGGTTGCTATTTCCATAATTGTGTTTTAGCCCCTGAAGATGACAACATAGTTTGTCGAAAGCTCGATATTACCGTCAAAACAGTTCACTAAGCTTTACGTTTTGCCAATTTTCAATAAACCATTTAATTGTATACATTTCTTGGGCAGACCTCAAAAGTACCAAAAGGATTAAGGGTAGGAAATGAAACATATATTTGTGCAGTAATGAAACATTGTCTATTCATTCATTTATAGATTACTATTTACACAATCTCAAGTATAAAACATCACAAAACATCACCTAACAAAAAACAATATTAAAAATGGAAGACAATAAAATATAAAAAATACTCGTTTTCCACCTATGTGCTATATAGTACGACTTATGACTTTTTTAAATATAGTACGAATCAAAAGTATCACGCAAAAATAAAATTCTTGCCATGTCACATTTAAAATCTAGGCATTTTTTTATCCAACAGCCATCATTTCTAACAATCATAACACATTTTTTAAGACACCCAAGTTGCACAAAAAATGCATAAAAAACATATAATCATGTTTGCCTTTAAGATAAAATATATAGCAAATAACAAAAATATTTACAACATAAAAACTCATTATTTACTTTTATTATTATTTTTTTTTGTATTCACGATAGCTTAACCGTCATTTTCTATCTTTAATAATAGCGAGCAACATCAAATGTGTCAAATAAATAATAACGTTTTTTGTACAACTCAGAAATCGTCTACTCATTTGAGGTTATGGGACCAGCCCTTTCCTTCTCAAAACTTAACTAAAGCCACAATCCCAATTTTGCCAAAGTTTTTTCTTAATTTTAAATGCAAATAACAATGAAGCAATGTGCTAATATCCGTTAGTCAAGTGGTGATTGTATCACTACAAAAAAATACAACATTCACATTAGTGAAATACGTCATTCAGAACCTTTTTTTTTCTTTGACAAAACTGGGATGAATTTTTCGTCAAAAATATGAAGGGTGAATTTATATAGAAATCCGGCTGTTGGAGCTATCTGAAATATCTATAAGCGACTTGCTATTTGGAGGTTAGGAATTTGCATTTATGACTGGGTGATTTCTGTTTGAAATGAGCTGCAATCAGTGTATCATTCTTAGAAACGGTCCACCACACTCGTCTTTTGAAGGGTACCAGTTAAATAGGGGCTGCATAAATTTTATATCTCGAATATTTCAAAATTGAGGATGGGCACCATTTTGAACATTTTTTTTAATAAAAAAAATCACTAATAGAAAGCTCCAAAAAGAGATCACATAATCTCCAATTCCAATAAAAACAGTTACTGCTATCTTGCAATGTTCAACAGCCACTTTTACGCTAGAATATAGAATATGTATCAATTTTATCACCCCAAAGGACGTCACATAAAACAACATATAGAAAATATTTCTCGTCTTCCTGAGCAAAAGTTCTCATGAAACCAAAGCAATCTAATGATTAATTTCTGGGAAATACGAATAAGATAGCTAAACGTGTCGACACTTTGTTTTTCCCTTCCATTTTCACAATCCTATATAGTGTCTTCCTGCAACAATCTGAGCAAAGCTCAGGACCGTCTGAGATATGCATTTCCGTTCCCCAAAGGACATCCAGCACTTCAAAGCGACAAGAATGAGGTTATCTGTCGGATGTTCCAGACACGTCAATCGTCCCTGGAACGGCAAGTGTTACGACAAAGCGACAAGCGAGTATGAGGTTATGTGTCGGTTTTTTCGATGTACCAGACACGTCAATCGTCCCTGGAACGGCAAGTGATACGACGGTAGTTCTAGATGGGTTTTCGCGTTTTCGGGTTTGGCGTTATCGGGACGACGGACGAGGTTGATGTGTCTCGTGCATTGAAAAACGACAGATAAACTCATGCTCGCTTGTCGTACAATCTCAGCATGCAACAGGACCTTTCAATTTATCGTAGTAACATACTGTGAAGGAATGTGAAAACGAAAGAAAGAAACAAACGAAGTGTCACCTGGAAGACAGATAAAATATATTGTCAAAAAAGTGTCAATTGTTACCGAACAACTTATTGTAGCCCACTTCTGAAATCCAATGTTATCAAGTATCCCCGGCCTCCAGACGGCAACCTACAAGGCGATTGATAAATAAAATCTGACTGAAATCTATCACATTGACATTAATAAAGCACTAAGGTCCCAATGCGTGCTCCATCATCTGTATACAGAGAGACTCGAGGTTCGTTTCGATGTCGACGCTGGAATTCGACGGTCGTTCTTTGACGAACAACTTTCTGGAATCCGTCGCCCAGTCGTCGTTGAAATACTCCTGTCTGGTGGGATTCAGAAAGTCCTTTGGTTTGATTTTTAACAGTTGAGATTTTAGCGTTTCGCTGCCGACTGAATGCCTGTGCGCCGGCTTGTTTTTCGCGAACGAAGAGCATTTTCTCGAGTACGTGTTTGTAGAGTACGTTTTGGATGCGTAGCACCTGTTGGAGTACTTATTTCTGGAAAAAATAATATTTATAAGGCCACAATAGCGGTATAACACCTTAAGCCGAAAAAATGCATTTATGTGTACATTGATGAATTTGCCGAATGTTTAACGACCCGAAAAACTTAACGCTGTAAAGTTTGGAGATCCAAGCTTTTCCTCACCTTTTGAAAGTATTAGTATCATATCCTTTATGGCTATGGGTATAACTGCAACGCGCATGTGAATCAAGCGTGACTAACAACTGATCTTTCCACATGGCAAGCCGTCGTTTTTGGTCTTCACTGAAATGATCTGTGGTTTCTGCATCTTCACACAGCGAAGTGAATTGACTGACTAGATCGTCTGGCCTATGTTGCAACATCAGAAGCTGGGTACAAACTACAAGTAAGAATCACCAATGGTTAGAATCGTCTGAGTGAGTGTGGTATTATCAAACAAAGAAAAGGGACTAGTTTAAGTTCACTGTATCTGATTTGTATTATGGATAATGATAGAATGTGACCATACCTTATAGGTCAGTGTCATGAAGCTCTGACAAAAGCATAACCTCAATGACAGAAGTAGGGTCACAAAAAGTGAATACACTTGAAATTTGGCGGCAATTTTCTGTAAAAATTCAAGTAGATTCATATTTTTATCGACATACCTTTCCCTGTAACTTTGATGAATTGTGTGACGAGATCCTCGCCGGTAGTCAATTGTAGGGGGCTCTGCAATATGCTCTTGAGTTTTTTAAGAGCTACACTTAGGTCACAATCTTTAATGACCTCAGCCTCTAACTCATTTAAAACTGTAGCCCTTTCGTTCAATTTACTGATGCTCAGCAAGAGTTTGTGTCTTGCACCTTTTGTTATACCTGAACAAAAAACATATTATTTTTTTCTGGAAAAATCTAAGAACTTGACGGACTCGTATTCCAGTTATACAGAAAATAGAAAAATAAAAATTCCAAGCTGCAAAAACTAGTTTTTTTAAAGGACAATCGAAAGAAGTATTTCATAGATCATGGTTCTGCAGTTTTGTGTAACATACATCTATGTATATCCAAGACATTATTTTGAAAATAATATATATTCCTATGAAAGCATGATATTGTAACAATACTTTTAATTAAATCTATGGAGTTGTCCAAAACGGACGCAGGAAAGTAAACGCATATTAAAACAAGAAAGATTGATATTCAAATAAAGTTGGGTACTTTATTTTGAAGGTTCATTTATACCATTTATGTATGAAAAATAATATCGCTCAAATGTTCACCACGACTGGATTTACAGACGTCCACGCGATGGTCGAAATTTTCAATGACATTTTGCAACATGGTCGGTTCTATGGCATTTATCTCGGCAATGATGTTGTTTTTGAGTTCTTGGAGGGTGGCTGGTTTGTTGACGTAGACTTTGCTTTTCAAATATCCCCATAAAAAGAAGTCCAAGGTAGTCAAATCGCACGATCTTGGTGGCCATGGCACATTTCCTCTATGAGAAATCACGCGATCACCGAAGAAGGACTGCAATCGATGAATATTGACGTTGGTTGTGTGGCATGTTGCACCGTCTTGTTGGAAATAAACATCTTCCATATCCATTCCTTCAAGTTGCGGCAAAAAATAGTCCTCTATCATCACGTGATATTGCTCAGAATTGACGGTAACGGCGTCCCCGGCCGCATTTTCGAAAAAGTAAGGTCCGATGATGCCTTTTGACCATAATGCACACCACACAGTCACTTTTTGAGGATGCATCGGCTGCTCTTGATTTTCGTTCGCCCAGATGCGGCAGTTTTGCTTGTTTACCGTCCCATTCAAAGTGAAATGCGCTTCGTCGCTGAACATGATTTTTGATGAAAAATTGGCATCAATTTGGCGGTGTTCAAGGAGCCAATCTGAGAACGTTCGGCGCGAAAAATGGTCGGCCCGACGCAGCTCTTGCGTCAATTGGATCTTGTAGGTGTGTACATTCAAATCCTTGTGGAGAATGCGGAGCAAACTGGTTCTCGAAATGCCCAATTCTTGGGATCGACGCGTTGTTGATTGTTTCGGATCGTCTCTCACACTCTCCTTCACAACAGCAATATTTTCCGGTGTGCGAATGCTCCTTGGCCGGCCAGAGCCTGGCAGATTTGCCACAGAACCTGTTGCCTCGAATTTACGCACCAGACGACCGATGGTTGTTTCGTTTGGGCGGTTGTTGCGACCGAAATGTTAACGAAGCGCGCGAAACGTGTTTTTTATTTTCGCACCATTTTTGTAGTGCTCTTGAATAACTTTAATGCGGTCTTCAATCGAATACGACTCCATAGCGAACAATGGTAAACATTCAACTAACAAAATGACATGTCGATGACAGAAAACAAAGATGGCGTCTATTTCAAATTGACGTTTACTTTCCTGCGTCCCTATTGGACAACCCAGTATATCTTTATATATGCATACCTATAGCAGACAAGTCTTCTTCCTTCAAGTTTATCACTTGGCTATATGTCAGATTGTGGAACAGCCAACTGTATTTGTGTAACCTAAGAGACTTCAACCATGATATTATGCTCTTCATAGCGGGCAGGTTGTTTGTCAAGACCAGTTCAGACAGTCTCGTTTCTGAATACGTAACCTGTAATTTTTTGTATGTGAAAAAGATTGTAGGATTTGACGAGCTAAATTGGTATTACCGCTGATTGTACATTCCGAAATCCTATTAAATATACACAGGGTGTCAGAGGAGTTCTGGAATCCCATGATAATTTATGAACTAATAACGGTATGAAAAAAATAAAGCCCCGCGACTGATAGGAGTTTTCCCCAGCTATTCAATGGCGACCTTGGAATTAACCTTCACCTTCAAGGTCATTTGATAGTCAGGTCGTTTTTTTTAGATTTTTGACCCAGTAAATGAAAACAAATGAATTTTGATCTTACGAGTCAAGGTCAAATGCTCTAGGGGAAATTACTGACACATTGTTTTCATGATATTTTCCCGGATATCCAATGGTGACCTTGGTCATGACTTTCAATGTCATTTGAAGGTCAACTTTTTAAAATATAAATACCAAACAACCTTGAAAAATATCAATCAATCAACAGACTCTTAGTGTGTGGAAAAAGAATTTTCATATATTTTTGACCAAATATATCAGGTCAGCTAACAAGATATAATAGAGAATGATTGACAACTATTAAAAGAGCACACAATGTGAACTCCACCTTTTGGTTAATTCAATAATGACAATTATTATATTGAAAATCTAATTTGAAAACAGTTGGACTATTTGGTTCTGCTACCATCTTATGTGCCTCTGATCAATCAGGTAACTTCAGGCACTGATTAACATATTCTGCTCAATTAATATAGTCACTAAAGAGGCTGACAAAGGGCTTGAAGGGCCATCTATGAGACAGGAATGAAACACTTACGCAGATTTCACTTCACGAGAATACAGTATCTTCAGATAGAATACATTGACCATTGGTTTTTGTGATTATTAAATTATCCTTTTTTTATGGTTTTGTCATCTTTACACGAGTAGAATCATTGAATATAAACTTACCATTTTATTAGGTGCTTGCAACAACGGGACCTCAGTACATAAAGAATAGCTTCTTGGTTTTTGAGATGGTTCATTTCCATCGACATTTCCCAGTGTCCACCTTTCTTTATCTAATAAGACATCTTGTGTGTACGGTGTCAAGCTGTGTGACCTCTGCTGTTCTGTCCTAATAGGCGGTAACCTCATGCTATCCTCAGCAAACTCAAAATATTGACTAGATGTGTCCTCATTGACATCAGGACTGCCTTCGAATTTTGGCGGAGGTGGCAGAACTTTATATACCATCTGTTTGAGCATATCCTTAGAAGACTTTTTGTTTTCTTCTGTGAACGCTGGGTGTATGAACAAGTAAGAGAATATGTCTACAAATTCATTCCCGACTGAAGAGAGAGACTCTGTCATGAGGTGTGTGATGATCTTTAGATAGCAGTCGGCAGCTTCCTTGTTGCCTGGTCTAAGTAAAGGCAAGTGGGTTAATATTAGGGACAGAGCCAACTGGGGGCTCTTCGCAAGACAACTAGAGAGAAAATTCGTGTCGTTTGCGTTCGCTTCGAGCACCTGAGCTTCATGACATTGCATCCTGTTGATGTATTGTTCTAAAGCATTTTGTATGAACCTTGCATTCGCGAAGGGTAGTCCTAATAGTAGATAGTATATACCTACGGTTTTTTCACAAGTGTCCCATTTATGAAATTTTAACCTTATCTCGTTCAGCTCATCGCAGAATTCCGAAAAGCCCCTTATACCGACAGTCTCCATCTGTAAGATTAATTGATTAGTAAGCTATCGACGAATATTCGTGCACGTTTTACCTGTACGTTTGTTCTTTTTTACTTCGGAATTCCTAACTTTTACAATTACAATTTTTTTCTTTTTTCAGTAATTTTTTACATGACGCAAAACATATGACAAAACACAAATGACAAAAAATTGTCATAAACGTTACATCACAGAACACAAACAAGGGAAGCACAGAACAAGAACGTAACTGGAAGCGTGGCTCTTACACGTCTAGTAGTAGTAGTAGAAAGATTTATTTAGCACATTTGGCTACATAAACAGAACAATTGTAAACAACTTAGAACTAGTAAATTCAAGCCATATGGTGTATGATGTAAATGCTGGGCAACCTATAATTGTAGATTTAACAAGTGATTTCTCAATTTTACTTTAAATTTTGTCAAAGTTTTCTGGTCTTTTATCTCCGAGTATAATTTATTATATTCAATCAACCCTTGATGGAATACAGATTTGTAGCATATGTTATACTTTTTGGTCATTAAATGGAAGTCATCTTTATTTCTGGTATTATGTAAATGATGGTCGACATTTGATGATGTTAAATTAGTTAGACTTGATGGAAATATATTATTTTTTACTTTATAAATGAATATCATTACAAGATATTTGATAAAATTTTTTACATTGAGCCATTTTAATTTGCTAAGCATTTGCCTAATTGGAGTATATTTATCTTTATTTAGTATTATTCTCATGCACTTATTTTGTAAAATTTGCAGTCTTTCAAAAATGGAATTATTTGCTAAATATAGAATAGTCGAACAGTACAAGAAATTTGGAAGAATGATGGTATTATAGATAATTTTTCTGCTATATGAACTCAGACATCCAGAAACTCTCGATAAATATCCCACTTTACTACTAATCTTATTTATAACTTTTTCATAATGAATATCAAAAATTAATCGAGAGTCAACAAAAACTCCCAGGTATTTAAAATTTTCTACGAATTCAATATCTTCACCATCAATATTCAGTTGAACATTTGTACATTGTTTTTTTCCGATTAACAAGGCTTTCGTTTTACTTGCATTTAATTTTAGTCTGTTAGATGCTAACCATTTTGAGACAAACTTCAAGTCTTCATTTATATAAGAGATACCAGACTGAATATTTTTAGTACTTATATAAATCATAGTGTCATCGGCGAAAATTTGAATTTTGCATTTTTTGACTATGGCAGGTAAATCATTTATGTATAAAATAAAAAGAAGTGGTCCCAGGATACTGCCCTGTGGAACACCCAACGTATTTTCGTCTGTGACGAAAAGCTGATGCTAGTCGTCATTTTCAAGGCCGTACGTGTAGCGCCGTTACTCGTAATCCAAAAGTTATTGTGTTTTGTCTGTTGTCTGCGTTCTATGTCATTTCATTGTTTGTTGAGATTCTCGTCAAAAATAACCTTAGAAGTCGTAAAATAAATAATAAAATTCATATTAAATGTTAATTGATATTCTAAACGATACATTAAGTGGACAGTTACTGCTATTATGATCTTACTTTGAACGTAGAAAATAGCATAGCCTAAAAGTAAGTACAGTGTTGACGTTTTATTCACATTCAAAAAAGGGCTACGTTTTATTTTTAGAATGTTTTCCAATGGCCTAGCGTGTAATCTCCCTTTCAGCTGTATGAGCGTGAACAGGGACTCTGGTTCAGATGAGCTGCTCCCCAGCAAAACGTCCAGAGAACCTGTGCTTCTGAATGTATATGACATGTACAAGATAAATGAAATCACAACCAACATAGGGCTGGGTGTATATCATTCGGGTAATAAAATTAAAGTTCTGCCATATTACAGTAAAAACCAATCTAGTTTCGGCAAACTGTTTGTGAAAGCTCTCTCAAAATCATATATGAAGACTCAAATGCAAGAACTACACACTGAACTTTGGAATGTCCTAGATTCTTGTTTGATAATAAAGATAACCATACCAGGTTGATTGTTTATATTTTTTTATGCTTTTAAGTAAAAGGACGTTTATATGAAGAGTTTACTTTGAGAAAATATTGCTATATGAAAATAAGTAAGGTATGGTACGATGTATGAGAGTTATTCCTAGAGTTTTACTGTGTCTTGCAAAAAATCATAAAAAGACCTATTTTCTTGATAATAGAAGATCCAGCTTTATTTAACCAAGTCTGGTTGCATGGTCTTGGTACTATAAAAAAATTGTTATAGGTGTAGAAATCTATGGGATAGAATATGCTTATGGAGGTCACCAATATCCATTTTCTGGAATATTCGAAATAAATCCAAGAGATGAAACAGATCTAGGTGAACAGTTCAAGTTCAGGTAATTTATGTTAAACTGTTTTAATATAAGGATGAATTCATATTTTGATGACTGCAAGCATTGCTTGATATATTATCGAAGAAAATGACCAACTCTATCCTGTATTTGCTATTCCCATACAATTTGAGTTCTGTTGCTAAGTGGGGATTTCAGCAATTTCCTTAAAAGTTATAAAACAGGCTTCTTATTCATTTAAAATATTTTTTTATCCTTAAACATGATATCAACTATCCAAGGGAATACAGTGAAATCACGTTTGAAAGAACACTAATGGGACCGACTTAATGAAAACTGAATATATTAAAGAAACTGTGACATTTAAAATGTATATGTAAATGAGTTTGCGTTATTGAAATAAACAAAAAACTTTATACTTAAGAAAAAAAATGTTTTGTACCTCTAGATATATATGCAAAGTATGTACATACATATGTATAATATAATACATATATATGTACATATACATGTACATATATATATATATATGTACATATATATATGTAGTGACACAAAACAATGAAATAAAATATCACTTTAAGGATGCAAAAATTGATATATTTGTCTCCTGTTTTTCTTTAATATTTCTAATTTGGAAAGAAGCTCCAAAGACTCTATCTCCGTGATTTGCGACAAAACTTTTGAACTGCTTGGTCAGAGTAATAGGTTTGCCACAGTTTGGAATAGCCTCTGTTGGTACTGGAACCTCATTGACATCAGAATATTTGGAAAGCTCTTGTATTTCAACTGGATTTTCAATTTCTTGGCCTGAATCTGGATCTTCATCATACAAACTTTCATCTAGGTTCATCTATCACAAAGGTTTTCATTATCAGTCAATTTCAATGATTTACTATTTTTGAGGATCTGAAAGTACATTAATAAGTTTTAAAACTCTTTATATCCCCTGGGTCAAGTAATTAGGAGACAAAAATTGATTTTTATATTATTTACGTGATGAAACGCCGAATTGTCTAAAAATGACAAAATGTTTAAAAAAATAAGACAAGGCGTTTCTTTTTATTTTGATTTTTCGACGGATAGAACATTTTCTCGTGTCCGGGTCCGTCCAAGAGAATGCCGTCCAAGAGAGAGTTAGTACAATGCAAATTATATGAGAGTTAGTTGGGACCATGAGAAACTGTCCCTTTAAATGAGGTGTCCGCTAAGGGGAATTTCGCTGTGTTACCTAAAAACTGGTTATGCTGGCACCAAAAGATGGTATCTGGATGCATAAGTGGTTATTGGTATTCTTTATCTGAAGTCACTTGAAACACTGTGAAATACCGGGTGCGTTTTATATATCTACACTTAACACGCTCTGTTGCTGCAAAAATTGCCAAATTTCGCAGCAAATATCCCCCGTATAAGAGATCAAAGGCAGTTTCACCGGTCCACGTGGAGTAAAGCACGCCTATGCGTGGACATAGCCAATGAGAAAGCGTGTATTTCAGAGCTCGGAACAAGTGCAGGTGGCTACTGAAAATTGAAACAGTTTAGCCAGTGCCGTGTAGCGGTGAATAAACGTGTTTTCTTTAGTCTGTCCGTGTTTTTTCATAGATTTTATTAGTTTGTGTTGTTTTGACTTTTGAATACTCAGTTTACTTGTTGATTTAATTGTTGTGTTGATTGTTCTTGTGTGTCCTAAATATGGCTCTTTGGAGACCTTGGGATAATGCTCCAAGCCACGAGGAGATGGTTGATGAACCTGTGCAGGCAGAATTCTTTCATAAAGATTTAGAGAAACAGACCCAAAGAGTAATCCTAAATATGTGTGATTGTCTGAAAAACGAAAATCCAGATTCCTCGCAAAATCAAATTTTAAACAGAATTTGTATCCTGACAAAAATCAGTCGGTCTACCATTTATCGGGTTATAAAAAGGGGAGATGTAGTCAACCATTCCTTCCACAGAAAGCGCATAGGGCAAAAATTAAAAAGAATACACCTCGGTTTTCGGGAAGATATTCGTCGTATAATATACGGATTTTATAAAGAAAATTTGGTGCCCACGTTGGAAATGATATGGGATAAATTAAAAGATTATCCTGAAGATTTTTATAATTACAAATGCTTAGACTCACTGCACTGTATTGTAAAACTGTGTGGTTTTCAATACAAAAAATTAGATAAAAGAATGGTGATTATGGAGTCGTCTCGAATCGTTGAATTGCGCCAAGAATTTTTGCACAAAGTTAAAATCTATAGAGAGCAGAAAAGAAATCTGATTTACCTGGATGAAACGTGGTATGATACCCATGATGTTGTGCAGTACGGCTGGGTTGACGACAGCAACAATTGCATTTTAAATGCACCATGCAACCGTGGAAAACGAATCATTATTCTCCATGCTGGCAGTGAAAATGCATTTATACATAATGCCTTGCTGTTTTCTGCCAAAAATATCAAAGAATCATGTGCCGACTATCATGAGGACATGACCTCCGACTTATTTGAAAAGTGGATAGAGCAGCAATTAATACCAAACATTTCCCCAAATTCAGTGATTATTATGGACAATGCCGACAGAAAAACAAAATTCCGAATACAGGCACAAAAAAACAAGACATTATTGATTTTATGAAGGATAAGGGAATGGAAATACCACAAAAATCAACCAAATCCATATTATTGGATCTTATTAAAAGACAAAAATTTGAAAAAGAGTATGTTGTTGACAATCTGCTTCCGCAAAATGGCCATGAAGTATTACGTCTACCTCCCTATTACTGCATTTTTAACCCGATTGAGTTGGTCTGGGCTGCTTTAAAAAAAAAGTAAGAAAACATAATCAGACCGCTCAATTAAGTGAATCGCTATTGGCCACAATAAGAGATGCAGTATCTCATATTGCTGCCACAGACCTATGGAAGCAGTGTTCTAGGCATATTATTGAAAAAGAAAATGAATATTGTGTTTTGCCTCCTGTAAATCCCGTTGTAATTCCTCTACAAGATGACTCTAGCGACAGCTCCGAAGGCGAGGATGATATATAAATACCTATAATGTAAGTCTTTATTATACCTTTTTATATACCTACCTGCTAGGTAAATATTTGCCTATGTCAAACGTTGGAATTCTGTAATTTTTCCATTTCTTAACTTTCAGTCAACATAAATTAAACTCCCAATATAAGTATTTTTTATCCCAAATCAAAAAAATAAGAAGATAGTAAAATCCATGTATTGTGCTATAAAAACATTATTATTATCGTTCTAAATAAATGCCGCACGCCTATGATACGTCATGAAATTACAAAGGACGCGCCGAACAAAGGTTTTTATGCTATTTCAAGTGACTTCAGATACACCATACCATTCAGTTGAATTCGGGAACTTCTGGTGGCATATGTCAATCAAGGCTCCAATGTAAACTCATACATTTTCAAATTGCATCTGAACTAATTTGGACAGAGACAATATTTATTCAAATGTGTTTCAGGCAAACAGTCCAAATAGGATATACGGATTTCACACAAAGTGATGTGCTTAGAATCGTACTTGAATTAGGTAAAGAATTTAGGGGAGATAGATATCATTTAATGAACAACAACTGCAATCATTTCTCAGGAGCTTTAACAAAGGTATGTTAACGATTTAAAATATCAAAATAACTTGTGATTGTAAAATCTAGTTTTTGTAGTCTGTATTTATTGTTCTCTTCTGATGTTTTCTTTTTATACCTACAACATTGTGAGAAAACCTTGAATCTACGAGGGTAGTTGGTAACATTCTTTGATCACGCAAAAATTGGAAATGCTCGTGTCGACCGTCATATTTACATATTATTTACCCCGCGTGAATCTCGTTCCTTTATCCAGATTCTATGCGGCCAAGACATTCCATCGTGGGTGAACCGCCTGGCGTACTTCAGCAGCTGGGTGCCTTTCTTAGAGCGCTGCCTGCCCAAAGAGTGGCTGATGCCGATGGCCCTCCAGCACTCGATCAGCTGTCGCCGTGACAGCTCTTGTTCGGAGGCGTCCGGGTCGATGGTGTATCAGCAAGAGCGTGTCGGTAAAAGTGATTTTTATTAAAATCCAGGACATACGTTGTGTATTATTTTATTAATTCAACATGCTATCAATAAAAAGGATGTATTGGCAGGTGGCTACATGGTGTTACATAATGGAAATCGAAGGAAAGATTTAGCATGTTTAAATATGAAAAACAGTTCATTAAACGTGAGACGGGCACCGAAAAAAGTGAGCCTTTAAAATTCGGTCTGTTTGAACATGTAGTCACCACAATTTTGCATGGGGCTCCTCAAGGATCTGTACCTGGACCATTGTTATCCTTGTTCTACATCAATGACATATGAAATTGCCTCAGTAACAGTACTATACTATAACTATCTAAAACTGTAATGACTCATCGATGTTCATGTGAACATCACTTAATTACCAGTAGTCGGCTGTTCATAGGCGGGGTATGAATGTTTAACGTGGGTGAACTAGATTTGTCACATGCTTAATAAAGAGTGGTTTGAAACATATTGTAAGTCAAAAATTTGGGAATTACCTTTATTCATCGTCGCTTCCACTTACATCTGACAGTAATAAACTGTCGCTATCGCTTTCCTCGTTGAAATTGACTATAACTGGCTCTATGATGGTGTCGATGTGGTGGTCAAGCTGCCACATTCCTGTTTCTTCCTTCACAACATGACGGATAGCATTCTGCAAAGCTTCGGGCGTTACTAGCTGTATGGAAGACTCAAGTAAAACCTTAACGTCTGGTAATTTGAAGGTTGTGTTATGGAGCGCAATATAACCCTTCACTTGAACTCAGATGAGCTCTATTGGGTTCAGTTCACAGTGGTAGGGCGGTAACCGCAGCACAGTGACACCACATTGACGGCCCATCTCATCAGTCACGTAACTAATGTTCGCAGGTTTGTGCTGTTTAATTTTTTCATACAATTCCGCTTTCACACATGAATCGTCAAACGGGATTCCTTTTTCGCGTAACCTTTGCTGCATGTCACTTTTTCGAGATCCCATAGTCGGTACACGTTCGGCTCGACGACTATGGTAGGAAACATTATCCATGACGATCACAGAGTTGGGCTCAACTCGCTGAAGCACCCCTTGAAACCAGCTCTCGAAGCAGCTGGCATTCATTTCGTCATGGTAATCACCTCCTTTCTTAGAGACGAAAATCAAGTCACACTCTTCTAAAAAGCCACTATCGCTACCAATATGAGTTACGATCAATCTTTGACCTTTCCCTGACGGTCCACGAAGATCTGTTGACAAACCTTCAATGCTTGCTTGTCGGTTACTCACTACGTTTTTGTCTATCCAGGTTTTTTTAACTGTGTGACCTGCATTTACCCATGTCTCGTCCAAATAATAGATTTTTCTGCTTTGTCGCCTATATTCAATCATTTCCCGTAGGTATTTTCGACGCCAGGCGACTATTTCAGGTCTCTCTATCAATACTGACTTCCGATTACGCGTTTCGTAACGAAAATTAATTTCGTGCAGGGATTTCCTCATTACCTTGACGCTCATTTGGGGTATAATTTCATTTTCCTTGATTGCTGCATGTACAGCCTTGAGGGTTGGTATCTCATTCCTAAAGAAGAATGAATGTACGGTTCACCTTAACGCCATTTTGCTATCGTCATCCAATTTAACGGCCTTTCGTCCCTTCAAATTAAACTTTGGATCAGTAGTAGCTCCAGTTTTCTTCTTTTCATGCACCACCCTGCGAATGGTCCACTCTGGAACGCCTGTCATACTTTCACAACGCGCGAGTGCATCTCCCTGCGACATAGTTCTGTTCAGATAATTGAACACGTTGAGCACGATTTCTTTCGCGTCCCTCTTCAGTGCTTTACGAAGCCGTCTACTTGTTCCCTGGCTTTCAGTACTTCCACTCGTGCCATTTGTACTCTCCATGGTTAAGTATAACCAAAACAGTAACCACAGAAAGCACAACAATAACAATCACACAACAATTCTTATAAAAACTCACAATATGCGATCGCTCAACGAAACACGTTCCAATGCGTTGCCGACGCCTATGAGTCTGCCGGTCGAGGCGCGTCTTTGATTTCATTGGTTCTACCGGCGGAGAACAATCAGCCATTATTTCCATCTCTGCCTGTGCTGTTGACCACCGCAAAGCCACAGAAACAACATATGTCGTACGCTATACGGCTGTACTGGAAGGAAGCCGGGATCGAGCTCTGTTCACGTGTTGATCACGCGTATGAGTCATTACAGTTTTAAATAGTTGTAGTATAGTAGCAAACTTTTCCTGTATCTCGATGACACTAATCTTCTTTCAACTATCAGTATTTATACTTTTTTATGTTTTACTTTAGCTGACTTATGCAAACATATTTCTGTGTAATATCACCAATAAATCATTATTATTAGTGGGTGTGAAAGAGAAAACGTGATTTTTTGTGGCACGTTTATTTGTTATTGGAATTTTTCGGATTGAAAAGTATTATATTGGCTAATTAAACAGCGTTTTATATAGGAAATTTTCTGTACTTTTTGATGTACATTAAAAGTATCCCAACTTAGTGAATGCGCATTCCATTTTAAAACTTCTAGAGCATTTTAAACACACTTTAGGCTATATTTTGGATGAAAATGGTATAAATTACCCAAATTATCGCTTTGGGTTTTGCACCCTATATTTTTGCAAATTCCAATATTTAAGAAAATCGTATAAAAAATATACTTTTGTTATAGTATTGTAGCATTTCTGTGGGTTCTTTTGGGTGTGGATTAAAACACTGGATTCCACAACAGGAATGCACTAACTAATTTAACTTTGCTAAAACATTTATATACACCACTATTTATGTCTGACTAATTCTTATGTCACCATTGACGGCACTATACTTCACTCCGCCCTGCTACTCTACCGTATTCAATACTCTCCTCCATCTCCCGGCCGCCGAGTTATATATAGTCCCAATTGCCGCTTCGAAAAAGACCACAAAGCGACATCTATAATGTTGGAGATCACTTCGCGTCGATCTAGAAGGCGATCCACTGTCACTGTCCTTACAGACGCCGCCAGGCGGCTTATGCGGTCGTGTAAAAGCAGAGATCGGCCATTAAGCTCCGGCGAGTAGGAGACTCGCCCGACAGATGGCGCTATTTGTCACAGTATATGTCAAATGATATTAGAATAGAAAAATACTCATACTGTAAAAATCCGTACCTCCTTAAGTGATGCTCAAACCATTTCAAAACTTCTGATGCATTTTAAACACACCCAAGGCTGCATTTTGGAGTAAAAACATCGAAAATAAAAAAGCGAATTTTCCGAAATTTTGGTTTGAAATGTTTACTTCCTTTTTTTTTAATTACAAATTTGGTTTTTTCATCAAGAAGTGCAGAAAATTTCCTATATAAAACAATGTTTCACTCTCACTTTTTTCCGGTGTCCGCTTCGCGTGAAGATAAGGGTCCTAGCGCCCTCTATGAGATAGCAGAACCGACTCTTTCCAAAGTAATTTCTAAATCAGTTCTGAGACTGCCTCACAGATGGCGATAGGTTGGCTGTCAAATACGTTGAACCGTTATTTTTCTTTTGTTGTACATACTTCATCTTTCACAAGATAACCTATCCAGTGCAAATGTCAATTTTAAACATGTCATGATTTTGCAGTTAAACTACTTGTGTTAAACAAGTCTGTAATGTTGACGCACATGTACAAGAACATTGTGCAACAAGGGTAAACATGTTTCTTATTTTTGTTTACGTGAGCATTCCAGATTTATATTTTGATAATGGGGGATGCTGAAGGGACAATTTCGTCAGCAAGCTCACAGTGACACTATTCTACTTTGATACATGGAGGTCAATTGTTGAATATGAGGGAGTAAAAAATTGAAAGAACGTGAGCGTGATCCTCATTTCTAGGAGGTATGAGGTATTCTTTAATTTCGCTTGCCGTGTTATTTTTAGAAAAAAGTTTTGCCGTAGCCCATCAGCGTTATATTTAAAGACGAAGTTAACATTTAATGACATGAAAGGAAAATATTTTTACGTACGCGACACTCAACGCGCGGACAGCTTTCTAACCTCGAAATGCTGATTTGATATGTAACAAACACGTTATTTTGATATGTTCATAGTATCTGCTATCTCCCTCACTTTAATTCGGCGGTCAACTAGCACCATTTGGTGAACTTTGGCGATGTTTCGCTACTCGATTTTGACCATTTTCACAAAAACGCATCGACTCACTCAAATGACTGGCGCATAACAACTGCGCGTAAAAAGTGACTGAAACTTTGGTGAGTAACTGTGAACAGATGAACAACGAAATCCACTAGCTTTTATCTACGAGTGGTGCTGCTATCTTCACGTTGAGGTCGGAATCTATTCAGACCACACTCGTACATATTTATTTAATGTCACAACAGAGTAACAGACATCAAAAGCTGTCGAGAAAGGCAAAGAACGCCTTCTAATGTTTCTAGTCCCTTGTTTTCGATCATCGCCCTCATTATAACATTTTTTATTAATTCTAGAATAAGCAGCAGATTTACTAAAAATTTTACTTTTCATATCTTGAGTATTTCCTACAGTGACGAGTAGATGATAAATGTATGTTAAAACTTCGTAGATCTAGGGATATCTATAATTTGATAGAAGCAGTACATTAGTAGGTTCCATAGTACACGTTCGTTTTACAAACTGTAAACGTTTATTTGAGAAATGTATTCATTATCTGATAAAACGGCCTACGTTCGTTTGTTTAGATTAAGTATTTTTAACCAAAGATGAAAGACTGTTTCTCGTTTGAGACCTTTTGAGGTCTTACCAATTTTATTCCTAGGTACTATTCTCACCAAAAACAATTCGACGGCGACGCGATCAAATTTACTCAGAAATGCTTTTAAAAATAATTTTCAATGTCTGCCAAAATATTTAGTGGAAATTCCTTTGGCACGCCTTTGGTGGAAATTGGAAGAAAATGTGGTACATTAAAAATTCCTCTTGACGCATAGTGCCAAATTACATTAAAATATATTTAATGATTATTACAGGTATTAATAATGATTTGTTTATTAAAACAGCACCCCATAAAGTAATAAGTTTAGGACATACGTTCGTTTAAAGTTTCCTCAACATGGACTCAAAAATTCCCCAGTAAATATTGACGTTCAGTTAGGAAACACTATTTTAAATTAAACGGAACTGCATTAACTGGTGTCAACTTGTCGAGGTGCCGTCTTTTTGGTGTGAACAGTTCCTTACATACGTTTTATGTCTGGTATTAATCAACAAAACATCTGAAAGATTTAAAACTTACATAGGATTTTGTGAAATGTATTTCTCTAGGAGGAAAGTGATTAAGGCCTTCTTATCTTACTACTTTCCTCAGCAAGCAGGTTATTGACTATATTTTTTTTGCCTAACATGAAATATGTTTTCCATAGCCAAAATCAGTCCATTTTTTTTTTCTATGAAAGTGATAAAGGAATCTTAATGTTGCTTGAGATGGGTCCTCATATCTAAAAGAATCTTAATGTTGCTTGAAATGGGTCCTCATATCTAAAAAGGCAGCCTTCTTCTTGCAGGAAGATATTTGAACATCTTTTATTACACCAAAAAATTGTTTCTGTTTAGCATCGGACGTAGAACGTATGACTGAAAATTGAGATCGACGTTTCCTTTACATATAAATCAGTACAAAATGTTCAGCGTAAGGTACTACAATTTCATTGTTGTTACAAAGGGCATTTAAGAGTTTAAAATGTTGTTGATCTTTAGTATCTACATGTGGTAAGGCTCAAATATAAGAAGTTTAAGACCTTTTATGAAACTCTCGTAATTTTTGCACATATTTTTGATCTGTGTTCTGTATTGTATACTAGGTAAATGTGTGATTGAGTTAGTCCAAGATAATTTTATATGCATATATTAATCATTTAATATCAAATAAATTTTACTTTCTGAACATTGAATTTTATTTCCAAACCTACAGTGGGCAAGATTTAGGAATCTCAATATAAAACATCCTTTTATTGAATAAACTTTACATAACTAGATCAGTGAGCATTCTAGTATCAAAAAACCCCTAAAAACCTATCATGATTCCTCAAAGTTGCAACAAGTCCATCCAAAACAACTTTATTTGAATCCGAGTAATCAATTTGATCGCCGTACTTGTCGGTCATCTCTCCTCCGAGTCCGCTGAGGATAGCATTTCCTGCACAAACGTCCCATTTCTTTATTTTAGTAGAGTGCAGATACGCGTCTGCTTCACCTTTAGCTACCTGCAGCGCCTTGTACCCTACAAAGAAGAGGTTTTTTTTATGCTGAGCCAAGAGATCCGCCGGGTGGTACCTCCACGCTCGACGTCAGAGACCGTCTAAAGCAGTGTTGCCAGGCAATCGTAGATCTGTTTTCGGGAGATTCGCGCGGAATTTTTCGGTGGACGGTAAACCAAAAAGGAAAAATCGTATCAGAAATATGCAATTCAAGAATTTAAAAAAAATCGGTGGATTTTTCATGAAAATCGGTGGTTCGGGAGACTAGGCCTAAAATCGGTAGTTTTAACGAAAAATTGGTAGGTCTAAAACTTATTCACTTTATGGTTACAACTACACATGTGACGACCATCTTAAAGTGCCAGTGTTGCCAGTTTTTGGAATGTTGCAGCAGGTTATGGGATTTCCTTTTCCATTGTTAAGAAATTTGATGATATCAAAATTGAAAAATAATTACACGAGGGATTGTGTGACTTTGAAATGGAGCTCTATTAAGGGAATTACTGATATCCTATTTCACAACATGGCTGCAATGATAGAAAATGTAAGTGAGCCTTCAAACACAGCTCAAGGTTGGGCATTTTCTTGCAAAAATTTTAATGTTCCAAAAAAATACTTCCTGGATCTACAAGTGAAGTAAAAAGAGATATTTACCAGCACCAGCTGCAATAATGAGTTCATATGGATTTTTGTTCATATTTACATTCTTTTTCAATATACTCTCTATTTCTCCTCTATGTGATCTTGATACTACAATCTTTGTAGCATTCTTCTTTTTTACCTAAAATAAAAATATACTATTATAGAAACATTTTCACACATAACTTTTTCTTTTGTTGACTATCTCATTGGTTTGCAAGTTATTTTATAGTTCTAAATATTCAACTTTAGACAATAAAACTAGTAATTTATTGTCATTACAAGGCAATAAAAAACGAGATTAATGCCTTGTGAGGCAGCTCAGTTTAAATTACCTCTAAATTGGCACTCAAGTCTTTGGACATAGTTTTATCAACCCACACCCATGAGGTAGTTTTATTGAAAGGACTATGGATGACTCCCATTACAGCTTTCCCTTTAACAGCTACGCACACCATGGTAGTTACATACTGATATAGTTTCTCTAAAAAAAAAGGAAAAGTAAATAAACTACTCAAGTCATTAACAGGTCACTTTGTTTAATCACTTATTCCAGCACTATTATTTGTTTAATTTTATTACAGTTATAATATGGTAATGGTACATGAACAAAAAAAGTGACCTGTTAAGTAGATTGATTACCAGAATACTCATAAGTTGCATCTAATGGATCAATCCATACGACTACCTCATTGTCAGCTATCTCTTGTTCAAGTTGGTCATCAACTATATTTTTTAAAGATGAGGGTATGCCTACATTATCTAAACAAGCTGCCTTTTCTTCGGAAATGAGTCTTAACGAAGGAAAATGGTGTTTTAATGTTTGTACCATGCTACAATGAGATAAAAGATCGGCAGCTGTTAAAGGATCCATTAAACCCTCATTTGTAAGGCCCTTGCTTTTCAAATTCATGTTATCTTTAGTTGCTACTACCATTCTGCCACCGCTTTCTGCTGCTTCTATTGCTACATTTAACAGTTTGTTCAAACTTATTTTACTTGGTTCTTTTATTGTATCATTTTTTGAGAAATTGTATAGTAAGAATATGAATAATATGGCCAAAACACAAATCCCGGCTTTATTCAGCCGTATCGCCCCGCCAAAATTCATATTTGAGCATTTTTTGTTTATTTTTAGTTCTTGACAACCGTAACATAACCTGCTTTTTCACGAAACGTCAAATCGCTTCCACACACAGCCAGTGACGTTAGAGAATGGAGATTTCTTTCAACAGTTATCTTGCGTTCGAACACATTCTCTATCATACATCTATCTTATGCTTTACATTTTTCATGTTCCGTGATCTTGGTCTGTGTGTTTTGTCGTTTTGTGCCAAGTGTCATCTGACATCTGCATTTCTGCATGTTTAGCTTGCCGAAAATGGGTTTTGTCAACAATAATCAAATTCAAGCGGATAACCAAATGGAAATGGTATTTACTATTTTGGCTTGGTATTTACCAATCCGTTCAAGCGAGTGTAGTTATCAGTTTGGTTATAAGATCCGTGACGTCACGAATCAGCTGTTATATGTCATAGTTATCACCGCAAAATTGTGGTATTTACCCAACTCAAGAGTAGTTTTATATTTCTGGTTATTATTTGAAATGTGACAAGTTAGAATTTTGCCGGGTATTGGATATTGTTATTGTACTTCAGCTTCATTTTTGAGAAAAATGATATAGGCTGACTTCAGTTTTACCATAAAGTAGAGCACCTTATTAGTTATACTCATTACGGTTGTTGGGGACACTTTAAATGTAGTTCCTATGCTTAACAAAGTATCCTGTGTAGTCATATACCACAAGAATATTCAAAAATGGCCATATAAACTCACTAGATGATATCCACCTGTATACGGTTTTGCTAATTTCTTTTTTCATCATTTCTGCTGAATCAATAATGTTTTCTTTGACATGAGGAAAAATTTAGAGAATTGAAAGTTATCATAGCTACAAAGCCATGGTTCCATCATTAAAAAAAAATCTGAATAAAACATTTCTCCCATGAATATTATGGAAGGTTTCTTATTTAAACTTTCCATATACAGTTGTAGACGAAAAAGCACCGATTATTAAGTGATAATAAAAATAATCAGAGATTATATACGCGCTTTTCTAAAATAAACAACTTGCAACAAAACCGCGGTTAAAACCAACGCGTTCAAGCGATTCGTGTAACTGACGTCATCAACCCGTGTGTCATCTTGAACTATATTATAACCGCGGCACATAACACAGAAATTTTGGTTATTCGCTTGGATTTGATTATTGTGCTCTATCATACATCTATCTTATGCTTTACATTTTTCATGTTCCGTGATCTTGTTCTGTGTGTTTTGTGGTTTTGTGCCAAGTGTCATCTGACATCTGCATGTTTAGCTTGCCGAAAATGGGTTTTGTCAACATTATTCTTTTTTATTAATTTTTTATAGTATATAGTATCATATTATGTCGATTGATGAATTAAGTAGCGATTTTTTTGAGAATTTCACGTGTTTGAATAATACTTGAAATTGTGAAGATAAACAACTACTACTCGTGGTATATATAATTTTTTGAAAATAACATGAACTTTGAGGTTATAGATCTGCCGATACACGGCGATACAAACCTTTTGAAAGAGAAGATAATCAAAACCGAGTAAGTATTCAGTTTCCAGCATATTTAAAATCTAGATTTAGATCGATAGAAGTTATTATTGTTCATATTTGGCCTATCTCATGTTTTTTATCACCTGCAAAAACCGCCATGAGAACATGACCATTAAGAAACCCTTTTTTAGCCGTTTTTTTATCCTGTCTCGTAATTTGACGATTCCTTTACATTGATTCTAGCACACTTTTGAAAAAGTACCAGGAGAACCTAACAAAGTTGAAGAGAGCCGCCCAACTTTGCAAGTGTATGAAGAAAAAGTATGAGGATACCAAACAATCTTTAGAGTCAACTCTGCTGGAAAATGATAGAGTTAATTTCAAACTTGAAACTATTCAGTCAAAATATCAAGATGCAGACGTAGAAATGAAAAGATTAAGTAGAGATCTTTCGGAACTGGAGGATAAGTACAAACAATATACATTCGAAGCACAATCAACAATACAGAATCTACAACATGAGTTACGATTGTTGCAAGACCTTAAAAAGTCTAGCTCGGACTCTTCGGATGGTAGTAAATTGAAATGTTTAGAAAGCAAATTGAAAAAGTTGCAACAAGCTGAGAAAAACTATAAGGCAAAGATAGATAAATTGAATGTCCAGCAAAGTGAAATTCGAGAAGAACATCAAGAAGAGAAAAGCAGATTATTGAAGCAAATAGAAAAGTTAACATTACAGGTAAGTCTTTATTATTAGAGGAAAGTGTGCTAATGTATGGGTGTGGCATTTACTTTGTAAATATAATCCACAAATGCTCCAAGTTCATAAAGTTGTCCTCTCTATATTTTCAGCTCTTCAAGAAAACATCAAAATTATAGCTCCAAATCTTGCCTCTAGAGTCTAAAGATATATAAAATTTGGTTAGGTAGTGCTAGGGTGGATTTATGCTGAAATGCTACAAAGAAACATATTTATTTTATTTTTATCTAATATTACACGCTAAGCATTCAGTATAAAATCATATTTTTTAGGTGCATCCTGAACATGACAAATTCAATTTATCACCTGATTCTAGTAATTATACAGATCCGGTAAACCAAATAGATCATGTAAACACGCAGTTAGACCATGACACTCATAATGGAAAAGAATCTCACTCTGGAAGTGAGATGGATACTAAACTGTCAAATGCATTGAAAGACTTAGAAATAGCAAATATTGAGAATGTAGCTCTCAAACAGCAGATAAACATGAAAACTAGGGAAATTGCTGTGTTGAAGTTCAAAAATGCCGAAAAAGCTGTGAAAACAGTAAGTGCCTTTATACAAACAGAATCATTTATCAACAGAGATAGAGATATATCTTATCCAAAAATTGATAACTATCTTCCAGACTTAACCTTTGAATCTGACTCGGAATGTGCCGCTCCACAACAGTTATTCAAAGGTCTAAATCATGATAACAATGAACCATTACCAAAACAGAATAATCTGCCTATGATGAGCTCAAAAACCTGTGAAATATCTACACAGACTGAGAGTTCTGAGGTTAAAATTTCAACACCTGAGAAACAGCTTGTTGTAGAGTCAGTTTCTGTACAAACTGACTCATTTATTAATAGTGAGGATGCATGTAATACATATTCTATTGATTATTTCCCTGATTCAAGTTCTGAATCTGACCCTGAAGATATTGGTAGAAATTTGGAAGAAAATCTTTATAAAGTCAGTAGTAGTGCTAGTGGAGATAAAGATGAAACATTACCCAAGGCTTCAGAGTGCTTAGATGACACTCAAAACCTGTCTACTGAAAAATATTACGATACGTCAATTCAAAATAAAGATTTTGATATTATCTCATCAAGAGTGAATCCAGTGATGGTTGTTATGTCAACCCAGACTGGCATAGAAACTATTTCATTTGCAACTCAAACTGAATGCAACAGTATATCTTTCTCAACACAAACTGAAACTAAAACAATTTCATTTTCATCACAAACTGAATTTAACTGTATATCTACCACGACTCAAACCGATGGCGATTCAACAACCAGAGATTCTATTGAGGATGACACGAAAATGAGTGATGTAGGGTCTTTGAGTGATATTCTTGCTGAAATGATAGATATCCCCAGACTGCTATCTCCTATCCAAGATATTGTTGAGAACATACCGGAAGACAAGAAGATTGTAGAGAAAAATATTAACAAAAGAAGATTGAAGAGAAGAATTATTTGGGCCAAAAGATCACTTTCACCAAAGGTATGTAAAGCATTTTGTTTAGATTCATTTAGCCTATGACAATTTGTGACATTTTTTTAATCAATTTTCTGTAAATCTTGTATATTAAAATTACATCACTATGCATTTTAGTTATTCATAAAGTGTTTTTTGAATTCCACCTTAAACATTTTTAAATGCCAACACTTTAATATCATTATACAATTTACTAAATTCAAATACTCCCTAAGTTTTCTGAATATAGCGGTAATACATGATTTTTAATTTGAATATGAAAATGAGAACTAAATAGCATACAGGGTGATCCAAGAAAAACTTCATGGAAAATCTAAAAATTAAAAAAGTTGGGGATTTTCCATTTAAAAATCTAAAGTGGAATGCAATATCATGTTTTTGGATCACCCTGTATTGCATGGCTACAGATTAAAAAACATCCCCCTAGAAATCAAAATTGACGTTTTGCCAAAAATATACCAATATAATCACAAGGGGGGCGTCCTTTACGTACCTGTATAATTTTTTTTATTTAACATGAATTTGTAATTTTGAAAAAATGCTTTCATTTGCTGTAAATAAGACGGTTGAATGATATACAAAAAGGGCAAGAATTGTCGTGTACACAATTTTTTTGGAATACATATTGTGACCAACGTTTTTTAAAATAGAAAATTTCCTCATAAATTTTCGCTGATCGGTGCGCCATATCCGTCAGACTGCGAACTTTTCACCTTATTCGATACCTTGTTTTACAGTATATACCATGGAAGAGGAAAATGATAATGAGATATCCAAAATCAGACATAACACAGGACTCGGTCACAAAAGCTTTACAGATTTTGAAAAGGGCTAACATCAACTTTACTATTTCAAATGAATCAATTTTGCCTCAATACCGACATTATTGCAATCAAGACCAGGTAGTTGTGTCTAAAAATACTGAAAACTGTTTTACCGAGAAACTAGCTTGTTGCTCCGCTAGTTGTAGAACAAACTCGTCTCACATGTTGTTGAGCAACAGAGGAGACTCAACGGAATTGTTAGGATTCTTTAATGCCGAAAGTGAAACAACAAAATGTACAAATGTTGGTCTGACTAGGAACACCAAATATCCTAAAACAAACCTGTTAGGATTCTTGAACGTTAAAAACGCAAAAGGTGCAAACATTGATATGGCCAAAGAAAATAAACCAGATCTTGTAGGTGAAACAGCTAAAATTGTTATATCAAAGCTGAAGAAAGAATTCAATTTGATTCCCAAGAAAAAGAGAAGACGCGATTTGTCTAGTTCTGATAGCGAAATGTTGGAGTTTGGAAGGGATATTCAAAGACCAAATAAAAAAATGAAATGGTTGCAAGATTTGAAACATAGAAGGCGTATACCAAGAGAAGACACCACTACCTCTGGTTTTGAAAGTAGAGAAACTAGTACTCCTGTTTCACAATATTCTACAATGGATAAAGAAAAGTCGGGATTCAAATTTAATGAAAATACGTCGTTTGAAGTGTTGTCTTCTAATTTGGAGTCTCCAATATCTCTATCCTCAACTAATAACTCATTAGAGATATCTTGTAACCTAAGTGTATCCAATGTACAACCTGAACCAAATATATCTGAAGATAAATATAAGGTTGACGAGATAAATTCTAAAAACACCATAACATCTATAGAAAACACTAATTCAAGTAAGAAAAAGCAGCCTAGGGACAAGTTGAAATCCAAGACACGCAAGCAGTTCGAAGAGAAAATGTCGATGTCTGGGACAACATTTAAAGAGTTTTCTCCTAATTCAAAGAATCTTGAGGCTTTCATATCTCCTGTATCCTCTACTGATAACTCATCAGAGTTGTCTGGGAACTTAGCACTAAGTGAGAATCCTGAGCTAAATATATTCGAGACAGTTGAGAAAAAACGTGAGTTTAAATCACCCGACGTAGATAAAATACATGCTAAAGAAACCGTAACATCTACAGAAAAAACTAAATCAAAACAGAACAAGCAGCCTATGGTCAAGTTGAAGTCCAAGCCACTTGGACAATGCAAAGAGAAGTTGTTGATGTCTGAGACATCATTTGAAGAGTTTTCTTCTAATTTGAAGAATCTTGAGACTCCCATATCTCCTCTATCCTCAACTAATAGCTCATTAAATAGCTCTGGAAACTCGGCACTAAGTCTATCCAATGAACATCCTGCATCAAATATATCTAAAACAGTAGAGGAAAAACGTGATTTCAAATCACCTGAAGATATGTATGATTTAGATGAAACGGAAGTTAAAAAAACAATAATATCTATAGAAAAAGCTAAATCGAAAAAGAAAAAGCAACCTATGGGCAAGTTGAAGTCCAGGACATTGAGACAGTTCAAAGAGAAGAGGCTGATGTACCAGACAGAACCTCCTAAGATTGTGTCAGTTTGTAATGGGACAGTTGAGAAAAAAATTAACACTGAAAAATCACGAAACAAAAAAGCTATTTCTAACAAAACTGCTAAAAGAAAATCATCGAATGGCTTAATGGAAGCTAAATTAGATATATCTAAACAGGTAGAGAAGACAAGAATAATCAGTAATGAAGAAACGGAAAAAAGTCGTCGTGCTGTTGAAGAGAAACAAGTAAATGTTGATGAAAAAGTGTTTGTCAACGCACCAAGTCCTCAAGCGCCACTCAAAACGTCTGATTCTGAAAATCAAGTCAAGGATAATGACAATTTCAAACCGGATACTGTTGTGGATGATCTTGAAATGACATCTGATACATCTATTGATGACAAAATAGTAATTCTGAAGCCTAAAAAATCAAAAAGAAAATGTAAAAGAAAAAATGCAGCTACCCCAGTAAGAGATAATATTTTAAGTGTCTCATCTGATGAGGAGATCAATTCAACTTGCAATTTGATGCCTAATCCTCACAATACAAGGAGTATGTCAAAAGCTTCATCGATATCTGATGAAGAACCTACAAGTAATACAAAAATGGATACCATCCAGACATCTTTAGATTCGGTAGATTCTCAGTTAAAACTTCTAAAGGCCATTGAATCTAAACAAGATAACGGAGACGCCAAGCCTGATAGTATTGGGCATGGCATTGAAAAGCTTACAAACACAAACTCTACTTTAGATGAATCTGATGGGGATAGACAGACGGATACAGATTCTTCAGATCAGGAAGTAGATGCAACTCCAAAGGGCGAAAGACTGATACAAAAGGATAGCCAAGAAACTGAGATTATACATCTTGGCAGAGAATCTTCCACAGCTACTACCGAAACTTCAATGGAACACTTTGACACAGATTTAGACAAGAAGCATGATTTGACCATCACAGAAGACAAAATGGATTCAGGTGTTGAATCGTTGAAATCGAAAGATTCGCATGAAGTTTCTTTTTGTGATTATATCGACACCCCAGCTTCGCCCGAGCCACATTCAGAGTATGAAGATTGTGACATGAAAATTATACCATTAGATCGCATGGAATGTATAAATAGTCAAGATGACTCTGCGGATAAGAAAGCCTTTCAGGAAAAAAGTCAGATTGGGAACAGAATCCGGAAAAGTAATCGAAAAAAGAAAATCAATGTGGTACAAAATATAGTCATAAAATCTGCGGACAAAATTGATAAGGAGGAAAATGAGGATGATGTTGAGAAGTTTGAACCATGTGATATTTTGTCAAAGATTTTGAATGATATGAACAAAAGTAAGAACTCGCTTAAGAAACAACAAACCCCTAAAGATTTCGTGATTAGAAGTGGAAGCACAAATAAACTAGATGACAAGGAGTGGAGAAATATGATTTTGGACGTTGCAGAACTGGTCTACTGTGATGAAGGAATTACGAGTTTTGATCCTGGGAATTTTGAGATTCAGCCTTTGCCTCAGACATACTTGAAGAACCTTTCTTTACTGGGTAAGCAATGTTTTATATGTTTTTATTAGAATGTTATCACTGTTTTTGTAGTAGTATTGAGAAGTGTATTTTATTAAATACATCTATTTTATTTCAGAGAAAGCAGACACGATCATCAAGAAACTAAAGTTAACCAACGAAGATGAAGGAATTAGGGATGAATTCGTTTTAGAATTCAGTAGATTTCCTCCTGAAACAGTTGTTAAGTAAGTAATAATAATGTTTGTTCGTGTTTTATAAGCTATACCATTTGCACAAGTCAAAAATAGTTAGCTTCAAAATACACATAGAATATGGGGACAAAGAAACATTAATGACAAATACAAGACACATTAAAACCGGATATATTTTAAAAGGCTTTCCTAATTAAGTGTCTTCTTGAAATGTTCCGTATTTACTGATTCTGGTAAAATGTGGTAAAACTTAATATCATAGTTATGCACATACAGGGTGGCGCATCGAAAACGAAACAGACGTATTTAGTGGCAGCTCAGTTTTTTTTTTTTTGGAAAAACGCTCAGACCCGTCGATTTTGTTCTCGAGAGGGACACAAGTTTGGGATCGAGTGATATCTTATTTTAAAGGTATTTCAATTCCCTTTATAATGATGTAAAATACATGAGATTCAGTTCAGTAGTTTTGAAGATTTGTTGATTTAAAGCTTAAAGTAGACTTTAATAGGTACATCAGATTAGTTTGTACTACTTTCAGAAGAAACTTGACTAAAAGAATTTACTTAATAAGCAAATGCTTTTCTTCACTACGCCCATGGTTTGTTTATTATTTTGTTGTTGAAAATAGCTATTGGACTGTTTTTTTGTGGCAAAAAAGTTATTTCTTGAAGAAAGATAAGGAAATATCTCGTACTTATTTTAAATAGGAATTTAGTACATAGTTTGCTATTGATTTGACCAAACTTTGTTGCCAAAATAACGCTTTATTACATAAATTAACCATGGTATATTCCACATCAGAAAGAGTTGAAATTATCGAAACATTTTTCGGAAATAATCAGTGCGCTAATAGAACAGCAGAAATATTTAATGAGCGATATGAAAACAGTAACGTACATCGAAAATATGTTCTAGAACTTGTAGCTAAATTTCGGGAAACTGGGTCAGTCGCCAATAAAAAACGCAACATTGAAAATCCCATAAGGAAGGAAGCAATAGAAGTGGGGGTTTTAGAGCAAGTTTTTGTAGATCCTACGTTAAGTACCCGCAAATTGGAGACTGTGTGTGGTGTTAGTCGACGTACTGTCCAACGGATTCTAAAGGCCCATAGTTTTCATCCGGTACAAGAACTTAATGAATTGAAAGACCTTTAAAATAAGGTATCACTCGATCCCCCTTTCCATATAAGATTTTGGGGGTGGTGTCACCCCCGCTTAGGGAGCTGCACGTGCTAACGTGATTTTTTGCCAAACTTGTGCCCCCATCGAAAAAAAAATCGACGGGTCTGAGCGTTTTTTAAAAAAAAAACTGAGCTGTCAGAAAATATGTATGTTTCGTTTTCGATGCGAGACCCTGTATGCAACTACTAAATTTTAACCAAATCTGGTAGTTATAACAATCCAATCCATTGCAAAACTTTACCAATGTTAATGCTACATTCTTTTACTTTTAGCATAATTTTATATTGCCTGACACAGGATGAGGATAAAACACTTGGAAAATATCATCCACTGCTTATGCTGACTAAAATGGAGTGGACATTTTTGAAACTGATGCTCAAATTGGAGCAAGGAAAAATGAAGAATATATTTGAAGTATATTTTAAGATAGTAGAAAATCAGCTTTACCGGTAAGTGAATGTATTCGTTTTCAGCACTTTCACACGATTTTGTGTATGTTAGTATCTTCAGGCTAATTATTATGTTTCAGGAAATGCGCCCACATCATAGTGGCGACAATCACAAGATTATACGTGGCAATATGCAAACTTTACGGACATGTATATCGAGTGAGGAAACTAATTTGTGAAACGTTCTACTATTCAGAAGATTTGGCTGTGATACTGTTGTTTACCGTCTTATCATCTTGGATAGAAATATTTCCTATGAAAGATGACGTGAAATGTAAGTAGAAACTGGTATAACCTTCATGCCTAAGAACTCCGCAACATCAAAATGTAAAGACGAAAACAGTTTTTTCAAATAGCTAGTTTGTTTAGTGTTGGCTTAGTATATATATATATATCTTGAGACGTGGTCATTGTCGTCTAGACCAGTTAGGTGAAAAATTAAAGCTTCCGCCTTTTGTTGGGTACTTCGACAAAATTTAAGCAAAGAGGACTCTTTATACTTTTTTAATTCTCTCTAGCTTTCAATGGACTTTGCCATCATCCTCAGGAGCTGCAATTACAATGATAACAGTAGCAACAAAAGTGTAAAATGAATTTAAATTGACTCAACTTACAGTAGTATGTGAGGATGTTGCTAATTGTTGTTTTCGTATAGGATGAGGGAAACGTCCAGTAACATGGTGAGAGCTGGATGATGGTACAATGGTCAAAATTATATAAAATATGACAAGAACAAGTTAAAAACAGATTAAAAATTATTTAAAAACAGCATTACATCGTGAAGCCACTTGATGATTACACAAAATGGGGGTCATGGAATAATGAGTGCTTAAATTTTGTCGAAGTACCCAACAAAAGGCGGAAGCTTTAATTTATATATATATACTAAGCCAACACTAAACAAACTTGCTATTTGAAAGAACTGTTTCATCAGATATCAATGGAGCTTTTGACATACTCCTTATATTGTGAGGATTAGGCATCAAATTGCAAGTCAGATGAGACACTCAAAATATTATCCCTTACTGGAGTAGCTTCATTTTTTCCTTTACATTTTCTTTTTGATTTTTTAGGCTTCAGAATTACTATTTTGTCATCAATAGATGTATCAGATGTCATTTCAAGATCATCCGGAACAGTATCCGGTTTGAAATTGCCATTATCCTTGACTTGATTTTCAGATTCAGACGTTTTGAAAGGCGCTTGAAGACTTGGTGTGTTGACAAACACTCTTTCATCAAAATTTACTTGTTTCTCTTCAACAGCACGTCGACTTTTTCCGTTTCTTCATTATTGATTATTCTTGCCTTCTCTACCTGTTTAGATACATCCAATTTAGCTTCCATTAAGCCAAAATTTTCGCCATTTAATGATTTTTTTCAGCAGTTTTCTTGGATATAGCTTTTAAGTTTTGTGCTTTTTCAGCGTTAATTTTTTTCTCAACTGCCCCATTACAAAATGATATAATCTTGGGAGGTTCTGTCTGGAATATCTCTTTCTCTTTGAACTGTCTCAATGTCCTGGATTTCAACTTACCCATAGGTTGCTTTTTCTTTTTCGATTTAGCTTTCTTTAACATCTTGGATAGAAATATTTCCTATGAAAGATGTTGTGAAATGTAAGTAGAAACTGGTATAACCCTCAACCCCAAAATCCAAATGTAAACACAAAAACAGTATTTTCAATAAGCAAGTTTGTTTAGTGTTGGCTTAGTATATATAACGGGTGATTTTTTAAGAGGTATAGGATTTGATTTTCAAAAAAACACAAAAAATTTGAAAAAACGACTAAATCTTTATTTGTGTCGATAGAACGGTCGATATAATTTAATGTTTAAAGATTATTTCATGTAAATGTTGGCCGCGGCTCCGCAAGGTCCAATTTTGGCACACTCTCTCCAACATATCGGCCGGTATCTCACGAATAAATGCTTCAATATTAGCTTCCAGTGCGTCAATTGTTGCTGGTTTATCCCTGTAGACATTAGCCTTAACATGTCCCCACAAGAAATAGTCCAACGGCATTAAATCACACGATCTAGGCGGCCAATTGACGGGTCCCAAACGTGAGATAAACTGTTCACCGAACTCGCCTCTCAATAGGGCCATTGTTTCGTGTGCGGTGTGGCATGTGGCACCGTCTTGTTGAAACCACATGTCAGCCAAGTCCAGCTCTTCCATTTTGGGCAAAAAAAAGTTTATCATCACACGGCAGCGCTCGCCATTCACAGTTACGTTCCGGCCATTGTCGTCTTTGAAGAAGTACGGCCCGATGATGCCACCGGCCCATAATCCACACGAAACAGTGATTTTTTCGGGATGCATTGGTAGCTCTTGCAATGCTTCTGGCTGGTCTTCACTCCTCTTCGTCGCTGAACACAATTTTTCGATAAAAATGTGGATCTTCCTCCAACTTTGCCAGCGCCCATTCACCAAATTGGAAACGTTGTGGGAGGTTGTGTGGCTTCAATTCTTGCACCAGCTGTATCTTATAAGGTTTTACACCCAAATCCTGTCGCAAAATTTTCCACGTAGTGGAGTAACAGAGGCCCAATTGCTGCGAACGGCGGCGAATCGACATTTGACGGTCATCACTAACACTGGCGGATACAGCCGCAATATTTTCTTCAGTCCTCACTCTACGTCTGCGTGTTGGTGGTTTAATGTCCAATAATGTAAACTGGGTTCGAAGTTTAGTCACAAGCTTCCGAATAGCTCAGTCAGTAGGCCGACCAAATTGCCCATAAATTCAATAATTTGCAAGCGTTGTTCGTTCGTAAGTCGATTCGTGGTTAAATTATAGACCAAACTGAACAAGTTTGACAATGACACAAGACACGATTCACACGTCATCTGTCAAAAACAGTGTTGCCAAAAAGATACTAGCAAAAAAATCACCCATTATATATATAGTATTCTAGTGGGGAAGTTCACATTTCAAATTTGAATGAAGAAAAAAAAATGGGTATTCATCCTTATATGCTTTAAAGCAAAGTGATTACGGAAGTCTTGTGCTGAACGGATGATGAACCTTTTTCCTACGCAGCGCAAAATTGCAGATATTGGGTACCAACTAACCCAAAAGAGAAACATCAACAGCTACATAGTCCAAAGGTGACTGGTGCGCCATATCCTTTAGCGGTATTTCTTTGAAGATGAAAACGGTCATGCATTGACGCTCAATTCCGAGCGATACAAGGACATGATTGACACTTTTTTTGTTCCTATTGTAGGAACAGAACGTCGATTTAACAAACACGTGGTTTCAACAGGCCACTGCCCATACTTCCAGAGAATCGATGGACACGGTGAAAGCACTTTTTCCTCAAAAAGTTATATCGAAGTTTGGAGACATTCACTGGCCTCCCAGGTCACCCGACCTCACGCCATGCGATTATTTTTGGTGGGGTTATCTAAAGTCAAAAGTGTATTCCAATAATCCACGAACACTGGTGGTGCTTAAAGACATCATTCGACGAGAAATAAACAAAATGACTCCGGAACTCTGCAAGAGTGTGTTTCAGAATTTGCGCGCGCGATTAGAAGAGTGTGTCCGAAGAGATGGGAAACATTTAGACGGAATAATATTTAAGAAATAAAACCCGCCGAATTTGCGAATATGTTGAAAGTAATATAAATTTTCTTTTTATTAAGTTTGTATTTTTTTCTCTTAAATCAAAAAGTGAACTTTCCCACTGCGTCCTATAAATTTCCTATTTTGTCATGTCTCGTATTTTTCAGGTCTTCCAGTAGCTCCAGTGATGGTGCAGCTCATACATTTGAAAGAAATAAAAAATCCGCATTACAAGTTGGAGCCCTTGAAAGTGCTCCTGAATCAACACTACGGTTACCCTAGGGAAAGACTGAATTGCGATGAATTTTTTGACGGATTGGTTCAGGATTACTTGCGTAAGTTCGTACATTCATTTTGCGTCGGTGTGTCCGCCAATTTTCTAAGAAGTATCGCTCGGATTTTGTTGAAGTTTTGCATCGTCGTGGAGGCCACTGCCGACAGTGCAATGGGTTACAAACTCCGACTGGTTTGCGGTGATGACTCACCGCTACAGGAAAAATATATATTTTAGCGTTCTGCGATGCTTTTGTAAATGATGACTCAACTGTTTCTATATCTACATATACAGTAATGGACAAAAGTATAGACAAATTAATATTGTGCTGTATTTATTTTTTAACTTGTTTTATTAATACACCAACCTGTATACATAATTCGTTATAGCATAATACTTACTTATACATAAATAAATATATTAGACTCCCTTAAAAAAAAAAAACTGGAACTATGAAGGATAAAAATATATAGACCAAGCAAAACAATTATAGAAAAAAGAAGCAAAGTTCATTGAATTATAGAAAACCAACAATGTTTGTGTTAATATTTTGTAGCATAACCATTATTATCAATCACCGCCTGGCATCGTCTCGGCATAGATTGCACAAGTTTCTTATCTCGTATTTGCTTATCTAACTATTCCCATAGATTTTCAATGGGGTTTATATCGGGAGACTGTGAAGGCCATTTGAGAACTGGTATTTTTTCATCCAGAAAGAATTTCTTTGCGACATTTGAAGTGCGCTTCGGGTCATTATCTTACTGGAAGATTGATCTAAGGGCATATTGTCTTCCATATACGGTACAAACTTATCCATAATGCCATCTATTCTATGCAAAAGTCCTATCCCAAACCCCGAAAAGCACCCCCAAACCATAACGAACCCGCCTCCATGTTTGATAGTGGGCAAAGTGTACTTGGGGTTCAATCTTTGTCCACTAGGACGTCTAACGTAATGAACACCATCTGATCCAGACATATTGAACTTGATTCGTCACTGAAACATACCCTCTTCCAGTCACAGATGCTCCAATCAAGATGCAACCGTGCAAATTGTAATCGGTCCTTACTGTTTTTCCTCGAGTTTAGCGGCTTCTTACTCGGACAACGTGCAAATGTCAAATCATTTAATCTTCTACTTATAGTCTTTGTAGAAACACTGACAATTCCTTTTGTCTCGATTTCGGCTTTCATTTGTCTTGGGGTTTTAAACGGATCTTTGGACGAAATTACTTTTATTAATCTAACTGATCTAGCAGTTAGTTTCCTAGGCCGACCACTTCTCTTAGAGGCTTCCAAGATACTTTTTTGTTTATATTTGTTCAATATTGCCCAAACTGCTTTACGCTTCAGCTTCAAATTTTTGGGAATGTCGAGTTGACGTTGACAATCTTTGTAAAACTCAATGATCTTAGTTTTCACATCGAAAGAAATTTCTGGACGACGCGGCATGGTCTTAAAATCTTCTGAAACGAAACTGTACTAAACTAATGTTGAAAAGAATTTGTCTACATATTTTTGTCCCTCATAAAAAAGTGCTTATATTCATATTTGTATCGTGTTCATTGCAGATAATGTAAAAACAAGGAATTTAGTTTTTCTACTAATAGCGCATTTGTTTATGGAGCAATGAAGTCTAATTCGTTTTCTAAAGGTATTTAGGTAAATATATTTGTCTATATACTTTTGTCCATTACTGTAAATTTTTCTTTCTAACCTTTAATTTGTGTCGCTCCTTCTAAACTCTAGGCTCTGAAGAAAGAAACTAAACCCAAACAAATACACGCATATTGCTCGTGAGTGAGTGTTTAGGCGCAGGAGACATTACAGGACCGCATCAAGATATTATGGGTAGTCATCAAAAATTTCATACAAGATAATTATTATCTTTTACAGTAAATTTCAGTTACAGATTCACAAATGAGTTAACTACACTTTTTAGTTATTAGTAAGTAAGCTGCGCGCACTCATTCAGAAGAGGAACTTGAATCTTCTGAATCGTTTAAATGAATTATTAGAGGTTCAATTTGGGTATCGATGACATTGTCCAAATCCCACATTTTGACCTCAACCTTCTCCCGAACGTGGCGGATACAGTTTTTCCATTCCTCTGCCGTAACACTATTGACTGCGATGTGAAAGAGATTTTTAACATCAGAAAATCTATAAGTATTATTATTCGACTCCACGTATTGCTTTATGTTGGCCCAAATCAGCTCAATAGGGTTCAGCTCACAATGGTAGGGTGGCAGTCTCAAGACAGTTTTATTTTGTTTTTTGGCCATTTCGTCGATCATTTTAAAATCGTATTTGTATTTATGTCTATTGACTATACTTATCAATTCACCCTTGACCATTGTTTCATCAAAATCGATCTGTTTTGAGGCCAGCCATTGTTGTATGTTTGCTTTTTTAGTTGCCATTGTGGGATTTTTTTCTATTTTTCTAGAACGGTACGGGGCATTATCCAGTACAATAACAGCGTTATTCTCCAGCTTTAGTAACATTTTGGAGAACCAATTTTCAAAGGAATTGCCGTCCATCTCCTCATGATAGTCCCCTGTCTTTTTTGATTCAAAGGCCCACAGTGCTTCGGGAACAAAGCCGTCTTCACTACCTACGTGACAAATGATCAGCCGTTTGCCTTTTCCTGGAAATAAATTATTCCTTACACTATGGATTGATTAAATTTGAAGGAATGAGGCAATTGAGTTCATTTAGCTGAATTTAAGAGTCACGGAATGCTGATCAAAAACTGAAAAACGTAGAAAATTGAAGTTTGCAACTTCTCAAAACCCATTCAAAGCAAATTGACTGCACCCAAAAATGATAATAAATTTCAAAATAACGCTTAAAAGAGGGTCGAAGTTTTTTTCCTAATGACTACACTGCGAATGCACCATTTTTGGAGAATATCACACATTATCTGCTATCGCAGCATATTATTTGCCCGAATTTATCAAAATTAAATTGCCGGATAGATGAAGGAGCTTACCTGCAGGATTTTTCAATCCAGCCGAAAGACCGTCTAGAAAAGCCTGCCTTGATGATGTTACTGATTTGTCGACCCAAACTTTCGCTTGAGTATGTCCAGCATTCACCCACGTTTCGTCCAAATAGTAAATTTTTCTTTTTTCATCGCGAAACTTCCGAATCTTCCTAAGGTATTCCCTTCTCCACACAACAATTTCTTCTTTCTCTATTAACATACTGTTTCTTCCCCGTTTCAAGAATCGAAAATTAAGTTCCTTCAAAAGTTTTCGGAATGTGGTTTTTTTAAATGATGGAAGATCCTCATCAGCATTAACTAATCTTAATATCTTATCTACTGTAGGTATCTCATTTCGGAAGAAAAAATTATGCACTTTCCTCCTGATGGCAGTTCTGTCAAAGTCATCTACTCCGTCCGTTATCCTTTTTCTTGCAAGATACGGTTTTGGCTCAGAAAGTGAGTGAGTGCTCCTATATTCCTTAATGATCCTATAAACACTGGACCGACATACTCCAGAAATATGTGCTACCTTACATATAACTTCGTCCACGACCAAATCGGGTTTTTCTTGAATTTGGTTTTTGTATATATTTAATATTATTTGTTTTTCATTTGCACTTAAATGTAGCTTCTTAGCCCTTTTTTTGGGTGGGGTTGCGCTGATGTCAACCACTTCGTCGGCTGTATCTGTGTCAGACATCGTATCTTAGGCAATATATAAACAAAATGTTCCACTCCCGAAAAACGAGTATACGCTACTGAATGCGTAATGCGTATGCAATGCAATCCTGTGCGTGAATTAACTGTTAGATGCCTGTCGTGTCATCTACAATCACGTTTACAAGTCCAAACCTGTGCAGATTCGTAGAGCGCCGACGACTGCTAGTGACCTTGAATTTGTCTGTAGATCGATGTTACTCCAGTCAATTTAGGTTCAAAGTGGGTGTTTTCTAAACCAATTTGTTGTTCCTACATCAAAAATATATCGATGATGTTTTGTACTGGGAGCTCATGAAAGATCAAGGTAACTTATTTTAACAGTCATCCTTTTTCTAGTCTCAAGATGACACGAAAAAGGGTCTGTGGATTCACTAGAAATACACTGCCGAGGATGTTTAGACCTAAAGTGACTGGAGTATATCCGTGGATGCTTTCGAGGGATCTGTTCACGTGCTGATCACTGTTTACGTTTAATGTCTTTCTTCAGCGCCCATATTACTCTACTTCGTCAAGTAGATTGACTCATTACTTATGACACATTGATATACTGAGTGACAAACCTACATAAATGAGAAGCACATGCAGATATCTACAGGGTCCGGTATAAAGGTCGAAGGTTTTTTAAAAAAATCACAAAATGGGTAATTTTTACTCAAAAACAAATTTATTGACGGATTCGGGTTCACGATGAATTAGCGTTTGTGTCAGTCATGTGGTGACCGTTTTTGACGGTGCATTGCTGGAAAAAAGTTCACGTGGACTCTCTCCAAGATCGTTCTCTCAACTTGGGCGACTTCCACGCGAATTGCCTCTTTCAACTCGTCCAGAGTTCGGCGCTTGTGCTCGTATACACGAGCCTTGAGGTGTCCCCATAGGAAAAAATTGCTGATGGATGAATCTTGCGACCGAGGAGATCACCAAACCTGGAAATACGGCGACCACTGAAGAGGCGAATAACGTTCATTGTTGCTCTGGCTGTGAAACGACAGTGTTGACTGGCAGGTTCAGGGTCAACCAAGACTACATTTTTTTATTGAATGTAGTGGAATTATTTTTTGTAGGACAGGTTGACATGTAACCCTGTATATTGCGCTGGAACTTGGCGAACGAAACTCGCATGGGTGTAATTTTGATATTTCGTTTTAGGCAATCCAACAAGAATGGCGAACTTTGCAATACGACTGTTTTGCAAATATAAAAACGTCGACTGGTTGAAAAAGAAAATCAACGAGATTTTCAAACCGTTAGTTTATAGGATTCCAGTGGAAAATGAAAATTTCAAAGCAACTGTGATCGTTCTGTTGGCAAATATTTGCCAACATTTCAGAATAAGTGGTACGGATAAGTACATGGTAGAATTGAAAGCATGGTTTTCTAGTCTCAGTGAAGGTAAGTGAACATTTTTGAAGACAAGCTCGTCTTCGAAGGAACCGATGCCCCAGTTTGTTCTACGTGGTTCACATCCTGATGGAGTGGCCTACTTATCAAAATGCCAGAAGTCTCAACCACCTTTCTAATGACATCAGTGAAGTGTTACTGCATCAAACCGATAAACTTGTGAAATTTATCAAAGACATTGACATGTACTTCAATACATAGATTATTGTGCCGTCCACGCCGTTAATAACCCTACGAGGTTGATGCGGTACTATCTGTTATTTTTGAAGAGTTGAGTAGTCACAAATTTTTTTTTTCAATTTTTTGAGAGGTAAAATATTGGGGGTGCGGGAGGGTATATTTTTGGCGTTAGTAAACATATATTTCACGCATAGATATCTCCATATATTTGACTTGAAATTTAGAATAAGAACTACTTTCATTATCCCGCTCGAACGCTACGAAAATAGAATTTAAACCAGTCGCGAGCTGATAGTTTACTCATCGCAAAATTGTCATATTTCTAGATTGCAGTCAAATCGGTAATGACTAATAGTATGCGCCTGTTCGACTTGCCTGATCTATCAAATTCGTTCGTTATATTCTAAGTGACATATAAATCCGAACACCCAGTTTAAATGGTTTTATTTTAATAAAATTTTGTATAAGTACTTAATGAAGCATAATAAGTAAATCATATAAATTTCAAAATGATTGCACTGCTTTAAAGCCCTTTGACCTTTAATAATGTGTGGATGCACCCTGATGTGCTACGCATTCTCCAACGCGCCTAGGCATGCTTCTGATCAGGTGGTCAATGTCCTCCTGTGGTATCTCATTCCAGGCAACCACCAACTCCTCTCGAAGTGCTTCTTGAATCTGAGGAGGACGTTGCAAATTGAGCTATCTCCTACTCATCATATCCCACACGTGCTCAATTGGAGATAAGTCGGGAGATCTTGGTGGCCATCGTAACAATGTGACATCATTATGTTGAAAGAAGTCTATTGTGACTCTTGCAACATGTGGTCGGGCATTATCTTGTTGGAAAGTTGGATCTGCCAGGGTGTCAAGATAGGGTAAAAGATGGGGTTCTAGAACTTCGTGGATATAACGCTGCGCGTTCATGTTACCTCTGATGAAGATTAAAGGTGACCTGGAACCATAAGCTATAGCACCCCAAACCATAACTCCAACAGTGTGATGAACATGTCTTTCAACAAAAAACTGTGGATTCCTCCTTTCACCACGTCGCCTTCTAACCCTGGCACGACCATCGTGCATGCCTAAACAAAATCGAGACTCGTCACTAAAGACAATACTGTTCCATTCCTGATCCCAGAGTGACCGTTGTCTGCACCACTCAAGGCGATTACGTCGGTGTTCTCGAGTTAAAGGGAGGACCCAGTGTGGCCGGTATGAAAACAAGCCAAAACTTCTCATTCGTCGGTAAACACTTCGCATGCCAATAGGTCTTCCGTGTTCTGAAAACCATTCATTTGCGATGGACCTGGTAGTGGAGAAACGGTCCCTTAAGGCCAATAATCTTAGGCGGCGATCTTCACGGTCTGTTGTTCTACGGCGGCGTCCAGTGCCCCTTGCTCTTTGCGTACGGCCTTCTCGAAGCCATGCCTGACAACACCTAACCAGTGTCTACACTTCTTTGCACTCTAACTGCAATTGCCCGAAAAGAAAGTGCAGCTTCCCGAAGTCCCACTATACGGCCCCTATCAAACTCACTAAGTTGACGAAATCGTACAGGTCTCCGTACTCTAGGCATCGTAACCGATCGTAAAGGATGTCAAGAACCAAAATCCGCCAACGTTGATTCTTTACTGCGGCTGAAATATTCATTTTTAGAGCGTTAGTGAATTAAAAAAAAGCAGTGTAAAAACCGGAATGTCCAACTGATAAGGCTGAAAATTTTTTCACTTGTTATTTACAGTAAGATAAATACATTCACCAACTTTTATTAAAATAAAACCATTTAAACTGGGTGTTCGGATTTATATGTCACTTAGTATATATTTCACGCATAGATATCTCCATATATTTGACTTGAAATTTAGAATAAGAACTACTTTCATTATCCCGCTCGAACGCTACGAAAATAGAAGATAAACCAGTCGCGAGCTGATGGTTTACTCATCGTAAAATTGTCATATTTCTAGATTGCAGTCAAATCGGTACTGACTAATAGTATGCGCCTGTTTGACTTGCTTAATCTATCAAATTAGTTTGTTATACATATTCGGGGTCAAACTTTTTACTGTAGGGCCTAAATGGTGCCAAACATAATCTTATATAATGACAGCGTCGCATGGGGACCACGGAGTCAATCTACTCGACGCCATTTTTTGTTGTTGCAGGTGATGTGCCAGAAGTGGTGCAGCATAGTGTGCACTACGCTTTAGATAAGCTCAGTATTGTCGAGGAAATGACCAGGAGGCAGATCAAAGGGAAAAGGAGAAAAAAGTTAAAAAAATCATGATATAATTGCCGAACAATAAAATGATTTCGTAAATTCATGTATGGTTTTATTGTCTGTGTACAGTAGCGTATATACAATATTTCTGAGAATATTTAAAAAAACACTTCCTAGACCCGTTCCAAAATTGCATAAACACAATTAGTGATCGTATAATCATACTATCTAGAAAGTTAAATGATAAAATTCGGACAGAATCTCCCTAAAATGGCAGTAATAAATGAAAAAATTGCATAAATAAATAATTAACAGCTCAGATTTTTCACTTAAAGTTCACAGCCGGTCCAATCCTTTTATGTGTTAAAGGCGTAAATGGATCGACACTTTTAATCTTAGGCTCTAAGTTTATGCTGTACACATCACCACATAATTCGTCTAAACCAATCTCCTTGTCAGCCTTCGCTTTCTTCGTCACTTCATCTATCGTCGTTCTGATTTCCCCGTCGATTTTCTGAAACAAAACATTAACAATTACGTGTCATCCTAAACGCGAAGTCTCCTAATTTCTTAGAAATAGTCACTGGTTTTTGAAAAAATCATTGTCGTTTTCCCAGAGTCACACTGATTCTGCTTGAAAAATTCTCTTGAAGTTTTTTCGTTGAACAAAAAATTTAGCACAGTCTAAGATACTTAAATACTTTTTTTTTGCAAAAAATCACTATACTGTTTTCTCTCTAAACAGAGACTTGCCGGTACGAACTGTTATACGTGCTTTAGAAGCAAAAAATTTGAAACAATCTTAAAATGAAATTCTAAGTGAAATGGAGCTCTGAAAAATTTTGTGGGATAAGTTAAAAGTGACAAAGGTACGCTACCCAGAAGTTTTTTTATATGGTGAATCAAGGGCGTAGCCAGGGGGCGGGCAAGAGGAGGTAGCTGCCCCCTTTTTCCCAGCTCGGAAAAAATTTAATGTAGAGAATAGAGAATTTAAATTTTTTGTGGGGCTATCTTAAGACACTAGTGTACACAAGTCGCATTAAAACTGTAGAGGAATTAAGAGAAAGAATAGTTGCAGCTTGTGATAGAATAAAAAACACTCCAGGGATATTTCAACGTGTGCGCAATTCCATGAGGAGGGCGGAAGCATGCATACTAAGTGAAGGGGCCATTTTCAACAATTTTTGTAATCATTTCGTTGGTTTTAATATTATGTTTATGTTGTCAGTTGTTGTTCATTACCCCTAATGTGTTTAATTTTTCCAATTAAATTGATAATTTTGCAAGTTAGACAATAGAACGATTTTTATTTTTTTACTCAAAAATGACGCATCAAATGAAAACAATTCAAGAAAGATCATTTGTTTTAAATTGAACGGGGCATTCAAAAATAATTTTTATTCGGCAAAACACCATTGGCGTACCATTTTTTTCTTGAAAAATATCGAAGTCAATATCCGTACGCACGCCACTGTTAATGCTAAAAATTATTTTTGCATTGAAAAATATGCAACTTCATTAACTTTCACTACGTACTAAATATCAGTAAAATATCTGAAGCGGTTCTGAAAATATTAATTTCCATTTTTTTCCTAAAACTTCAACACCTCGAGTTTTTGTAAGGAAACGTTTTTGGACCATAGTTTATAAAGTAAACTAACATTAATTTTTCATGCAGATTCACATCCTTAAATATTCGCACATCATTAAGGAACAAACTGTATAATTTCAAGGCTTACTCAAGAACATGGCATACATAAGAAAAAGTTGAGACGGGGGATAAGAGACGAAAAATCATATTAATGTTCTATTTATGCCACCCTGCAGACATCAAAAAGAGGCAATGCAATGAGCAGTTTATGTTCAAATCCTCAAATAAATTCAGAAACAAAAATTTTGAGAAAATTCATCCCCTTTTGTGTATGCTGGAAGCGTCAAAACTTTTCAAATGCACTTTCTAGAACATATAAATATGCAACTTTGCCACCTTTCAACCGATCCGTATCTCTTACCGTTTTATGCGACATTATACCAAATTAAAGGGTTGTCCAATAGGGACGCAGGAAAGTAAACGTCAATTTGACATAGACGCCATCTTTGTTTTCTGTCACCGACATGTCATTTTGTTAGTTGAATGTTTACCATTGATCGCTATGCAGTCGTATTCGATTGAAGACCGCATTAAAGTTATTCAAGAGCACTACAAAAATGGTGCAAAAATAAAAAACACGTTTCGCGCGCTTCGTGAACATTTCGGTCGCAACAACCGCCCAAACGAAACAACCATCGGTCGTCTGGTGCGTAAATTCGAGGCAACAGATTCTGTGGCAAATCTGCCAGGCTCTGGCCGGCCAAGGAGCGTTCGCACACCGGAAAATATTGCTGTTGTGAAGGAGAGTGTGAGAGACGATCCGAAACAATCAACAACGCGTCGATCCCTAGAATTGGGCATTTCGAGAACCAGTTTGCTCCGCATTCTCCGCAAGGATTTGAATGTATACGCCTACAAGATCCAATTGACGCAAGAGCTGCGTCGGGCCGACCATTTTTCGCGCCGAACGTTCTCAGATTGGCTCCTTGAACACCGCCAAATTGATGCCAATTTTTCATCAAAAATCATGTTCAGCGACGAAGCGCATTTCACTTTGAAAGGGACGGTAAACAAGCAAAACTGCCGCATCTGGGCGAACGAAAATCTCCGTATCAAGAGCAGCCGATGCATCTTCAAAAAGTGACTGTGTAGTGTGCATTGTGGTCAAAAGGCATCATCGGACCTTACTTTTTCGAAAATGCGGCCGGGGACGCCGTTACCGTCAATTCTGAGCGATATCACGTGATGATAGAGGACTATTTTTTGCCGCAACTTGAAGGAATGGATATGGACGATGTTTATTTCCAACAAGACGGTGCAACATGCGACACAACCAACGTCAATATCCATCGATTGCAGTCCTTCTTCGGTGATCGCGTGATTTCGCGCAGAGGAAATGTGCCATGGCCACCAAGATCGTGCGATTTGACTCCCTTGGACTTCTTTCTATGGGGATATTTGAAAAGCAAAGTCTACGTCAATAAACCAGCCACCCTCCAAGAAAACGAAAACAACATCATTGCCGAGATAAATGCCATAGAACCGACCATGTTGCAAAATGTCATTGAAAATTTCGACCATGGCGTGGACGTCTGTAAATCCAGCCGTGGTGAACATTTGAGCGATATTATTTTTCATACATAAATGGTATAAATGAACCTTCAAAATAAAGTACCCAACTTGATTTGAATATCAATCTTTCTTGTTTTAATATGCGTTTACTTTCCTGCGTCCGTTTTGGACAGCCCCATACTTAAATTATTCCTTGAAAACACGTTGAGCGCAATTGACAATTTTTTGCAGACATTAAGATGTTTTAATAATAATATTTAATTCGTCATTACCTTAAAAAACATATGAAGCGCGATCAAGACATTTCTTGCAAACTACAACGCTAAAATCAAGTTAAATTTACTTTACCTTAATTTCATCTGCCGAGACTAATTCCGTAGAAGTAATCTTTTCCTTGAACGACGTGACGGGATCCCTGGTTTGTCTCACTTCTTGAATTTCATCTCTTGTCCTGTAACTTGTTCCTGGATCAGACATGGAATGTCCTGAGTATCTGAAAATAGTGAACCAAATTGATCTCCAAAATCTGTCCGATTTGCTTTTCTTTGCAGCAACCTAATTTCCGTTTCTGACATCCTCTCAGTCGCTGTTTCGCGTTTATCAGACTCGTCAGTACAACATATACACGGAGTCCCTGACGGAAATTAGGTTGAGATTTTTTCAAAAAGCGCACCTGTATGTTGCCGCCTCAATGACCAATGGACCTTTCCCGCTGGCTGCGTAGTTGATGGCGAATTTGAAACATTCTCTAACAGCCAACACGTCCATTCCATCTACCCACAATCCAGGCACATACATGCCTCTCTGATAGAAGTTTACATCGGCGGATGCCCTTTGTGCGCTGGTACCCATACCTTGAAAGATACATTTCAGAATCAGTAACGGAAATTGCGTAAGGCATTAAAAAAATTGTATTTATTTAATCTAGACAAAAAACATTGTAGAGGAAGAGTCATACATAACGTTTATACCCTGTAGGTGACAAATCCGACGTTAGCCTCCTATAGTATTACAGTATATTCAGATAAGAGATAGACCGGATGTAAACAAAAGGTTCGGGTGATTTTCACGCTAACGCCGCCGTCTCGACGTAAAACAGGAGCCCTCATTGGTCAATTCGCAATTAAATGCCTATGCCGAGCGGCAGAGCAGTCTTATCAAGGCAGAGACACATTCAGGTTCAGACGTGTTACGTATGTCGTGTGCATCATTGCAATTTGATATTTCTTTGGACGTTTTCGTTTGTTATCTTATTAAGTTGTTGAGTTTGTCGTTGTTATTGTTATACCTTGTTATTGATTGTTATTGTTATCAACTGCTTGCGCAAAATGCCCAGTAGTACAGATACTGCCGATGAAGTTGTAAACTCCTGTAGTCCACCTAGGAAACGCTCTAAAAAAAGACACCTGAGTGCAGAAATGAAAGAGGTCATTTTGAATATATATAAGATCTCGAGCGCGAGGAGAACGAGGCATCAACCATCAAAGAAATTGTTGTGAAGGTTTCTCACAAAGTTGGGGTGTGTCGCGCATCAGTGTTTAATGTGTTAAGACAATACAAAAAAAAATCACACCTTTTCTGAGCCAATGACCAGTAAACATCGCAAAAGTATTGTTAAATCATTGGATGAAGCTGATAAGCATGCGATTAGGAGGAAAGTGCATGAATTCTTCTTTAGGAATGAAATACCTACTATAGATAAAGTACTGCAGGAGGTCAATGGAGATACAACGTTGCCAAATTTCAAACGATCAACTTTCCATGCGTTACTGAAGCATTTAAATTTCAAATGAAAAAAACGGGGTCGTAATAGTTTACTACTGGATAGAGACGAAATTGTGCTATGGAGGAGGGATTATTTAACAAAAATTGGGAAATATAGAAATCAAAACAGGAAGATTTATTACCTTGATGAAACGTGGGTAAACGCAGGACACACTACAAGTAAAGTATGGGTTGATGATTCTGTAACTTCATCCAGGAGGGCCTTTCTAGATGGACTGTCCACCGGATTAAAAAATCCAGCAGGTAAATACGAGTAATAGACAACAATCGGATGTTTTTCAAACCTTGGGAACAAGGTTCTAAACATTAATTCCAGGGGGCAGATAAAACATATTACAAGTAACAAAACTTTTATAACTTTCGATAAAATGCGTGGATGTTTTATTATCATTTTCATTTGTTAGAACTTTTTTAAGCCATGTTTTTATGTGTTTTCGATATTTCAATAATTTTTTAATATAATCTTAAAATATGTCGAATATTATAAACTTAAAAAAAGTTACTAAGTTTTATATTGTGTACCGTTCCTAATATTTCTAATCATTTTAATTCATACATTAAGCTTTATAAAGTTATAATTTGTTAATACTAATATTTGCGCGTATTTCAGGTTCCTGATCATTCATTTTTTAAAGGTTTATAACTTTAAATTAAATTGTGAAGCGCTGAGTAATCATACGACGTTCAATATTCTTTCTTTCAATATGACTAAATAATCCCAATTATAGCAATCTGATACTCATGTCTCAATGTTTTTTCGCTGAATGTGATGAAAACATTTGAAAAAGGTTCGCTTATTGAAATAAATCTACACCAGTTAGTACTTCGATTTCCAGGTAAAGGGAAAAGGCTCATTATCTGCCATATTGGCAGTGAGGATGGATTTGTTGTTGACGGTCTGTGGTGCTTTGAGTCTAAGAAAACTGGAGATTACCACGAGAAAATGAATGGGGAATCGTTTGAACAGTGGTTTTCAAAAATTTTACCGAACTTAGAGGAAAACGCAGTAATTGTGTTGGATAATGCGCCTTATCATTCTCGAAGAATGGAGAAGGTCCCAACAACGGCTTCAAGGAAAGTTGACGTTCAAAATTGGCTCCGCTCGAAAAATATCAACTTTGAAGAAGCAATGCTGAAAGTACAATTATTAAGAATTGTCAAGGATAACAAGGCGGAATATCAAAAATACGCCATTGACGAAATGGCAGCAAGTTAAAATAAAACTGTGCTCCGTTTACCTCCATACCATTGCGAGCTCAATCCCATTGAGCTCATATGGGCAGAGGTTAAAAATTATATAGCTAAGCACAATACAACTTTTAAATTTTGTGACCTCAAAGGACTTTTCAAAGAAGCACTAGAACTAACAGCGCAAAAATGGGAAAACTGTATTAAGCACGTGAAAGACAAAGTTGAAAAGAGAATGGGAACTGGACAATATTTTAGAGGAACAAGTCGAGCCATTCATTATTGACGTTGGTGCTTCAGGCAGTAGCGATGATGAAAGCTCATCAAGCTCATCTTTCCAATAAAAGATGTCGTTCATCAAATTCGGTAAGTTATAAGTAATTATAAAGTATTTTTTAATTAATTATTGACATTTTTGAACCCATTTTGGCAAAACCTATTCAAGAATCTACTTTCTGACAATGTTCAACCATGCACATTTTTTTACGTTTTGAACGTTTTATTTGGTTACATATTTACCTAGAAATCAAAAAATATACTAATCAATATTCTAAAAGCAATTTTAAGAGATATACGATTATTTTTAATTTAGGCTAATTTAAACGCCATTTTGAGATTATATTCGACTGTATTTCACCAAACATCAGGCGGCATCCGAAGCTGGAAATCGAAGCGAAAATTTTGAAACCCTTATGTATATTTACATCATTATATATTTCTTACCCCACCCCCACATGATCCTATATCCATCACCAATCGTATACACATCGAATTGTGCTAATTCACTACAAAGTTACGCAAAGCAGCATCTACTATCTAAAATATGTACTGCGTGACTCTTAATACGTCCCTGCCGAATGTTACAGCGTTCGATGATCACGTGGTCTTGTTTATGTCCGGTCTATCTCTTATCTGAATATACTGTAGTATTGCTCGAGGATCTACAGTACTATTCGTCATTATTCGTCAGAGCGGTCCGGTGGACCATTGCTCTTAGTTAAAAGTCTCGTCGGTCTGTTAGTCTATCAGGTCTGGCTACCCAGATACCAAACAAGTTTAACGGGAAAAGGGAAAGAAGGAAAGAAAGGAAGGAAGAAATAGAGCAAAAAAAGGAAGTAAATCATTTGAAATAGCTTAAGCATTATTGCTTTGACTACTCGAATTATTTTGTAACTCCAAAAAATAATTTTGATCGTTTTTGTATACTGAAATAATTTTGGCTGTCTGAATTTACAATCTAATTTTGATCACAGTGCGAAGCGCGGCCTGGAATGTTTGCGAACTTGCTCGACTGTGTAGTAGATCTACAGTATGGGGAGGAAAACTATATGACATAATTCCTTACCGTATCCGTTATTTTCACAAACAAAAATGCAAGGGAGGTCCCACAATTTGGCCATGTTGTAAGCTTCGAATACTTGTCCCTGATTGGCCGCGCCATCACCATACAGAGCGATGCAAACGCCGTCAGTGCCTTTGTATTTCTGAGCTAAAGCTATGCCTGCACCCAGGGGTACCTGAAAGATATCAAAAGCTTGTATGACTGTATGAGGTCCAGATCCAAGATAAAGTGTTCAGAGTGTAGATCATTTGTTGTGGCAAACCTTGATACGTTCATAGCTCTTTGCTAGCTAAATATGGAAATGTTTCGATCATTTTTGTTGTTTTTTTTTTTTAGAAATTTAAATTCTGAGTTGGTGCATTTTTGTCCTTGTTTAAGTGGCTACAAAGTAATTGACATGACATTATAATTATATAGATTGTCAAATAATTATTTGACCTGGATTTATTTTATTTTATTTATTTTACTACTTTATCATTAAAATGTTACTTTACACATTATTTAAGATTGGTGCATACGGATATTAAGTTATCTAGGTACCACATAAGAAAAACTATACATGTTTTATTTTACTGAAATATATAAAACCACTGTATATATCGCCATCACTTTGTATTGTTCAAGCCGACAGAAAAAAGTATAAAAAATGGATATAAACAAAATGTAAAAATGTGTTAAAATGAATCATATGCGTAGTTAAATGGCCACTACATATCTGTAGTTAATAAATCGTCAATAAATGAACTACTATTTATAGATACATATATATGATATTACAATAAAATACAATCAGTGTTGCTCTTTGACTTTCATAACAAGATTGATAAGACCTATATCACGTTTATACCAAATAGTACTAATAATTATAGATCAATAATTATTGTAAGACATCCTTGAGGCGGAAGTGCAAAAGTGTATTTCACGTCTAAAAAACTGGCGACTATGGAGAAAAATAGCTTAAAGATCAACGTTTCCAATGGGGAATTCGTTCTTTCCTTGTGCCTAAAAAAAAATGTGAAAGCCTTCGTAGATAATCAGCTATTATTCTACCATAGTAGATACTCGTTTATTGATTTTGTGTAGCAAGTATTTAATACATCAACTGTAGGTTAGAGAGCAAAACTGATTTTTGCTCTTTGTTGAGTGTTTAAACTTTATCATTGTTAAAATATGTTACGACCTCCTTAAGGATGTGATCAACAAATATAGATTGCTAAGATAAACATCTAAAACAATGAACGTTTCTTTTATGAAGAATGATAGCAACTGCTCGACTGTCACTGATGACTCTAAACAGTTTTTCTCCACTATAGTTGATGACTTTGATAATGCGCGAGTGAGTCAAGAGTTACCTGTAAAAAATAAGCCAATATTCACAATCTTAACAAAAACCTAAATATTTTTTGACATTTCGACAGACTTGACGGTTTTCCATTACTATCTCTTATTTCCCTGGATTTTTTCTAGAAACTGAAGACTATTCAACAATAAAAATAACTTGTGAACCCACTTATAAGAACACCCAAAATTACTTTGTCTTTTTGCCTGGCGAGGAATAACTCTTCCCTAATTTCCCATATCGATAATATAACTAACCTGTGCACCTACAATACCGTTTCCTCCATAAAAGTTATCAGTATACATGTGCATAGAACCACCTTTGCCCCTAGCACAGCCGCTTTGTCTGCCACACAGTTCTGCTAGAACTCCCATTGGTTCTACTCCCATTATGTACGTCCAACCATGGGCGCGATAGGCTGTGATGACTGCGTCATGTGGCCTCATGGCCTCTTTGATGCCGACTGCTACTGCTTCCTGTGGACACATACGATATATTGAACGATTAAACGGACAGTATCTCATGGCCCCGAACGAAATATAATTTGCATTGTTTCTGTTGGGACTTTCTCGGGATTCGCCGACTTTAATCTTTCGGTACATAGGTAAATTAGGGACTTCCCCGAGTTGGACGGGGATTTACCGTTATTCTTTGGGTACATGCTTTCGATTAAATTTCCATTCCGTATTAGTCTGTCGTCTATGCGGAAAAGACACAGTCATTGTAGAAATGGCTACAAATTATGAGAGTGGTTGCAAGGAAAATGGCTAAAGAAAAACGAAACATTTTGTTATTTTTAGGTAAATGTCATTCCCTTAAATAATATAATGGGTGATTTTTTGCTAGTATCTTTTTGGCAACACTGTTTTAGACAGATGACGCGTGAATCGTGTCTTGTGTCATTGTCAAACTTGTTCAGTTTGGTCTATAATTTAACCATGAATCGACTTACGAACGAACAACGCTTGCAAATTATTGAATTTTACTATCAAAATTCATTCTTGGTTAAAAGAGTGCATCGAGCACTGCTTCCAATTTATGGGCAATTTGGTCGGCCTACTGAGGGAGCTATTCGGAACCTTGTGACTAAATTTCGAACCCAGTTTACATTATAGGACATTAAACCACCAACACGCAGACGTAGAGTGAGGACTGAAGAAAATATTGCGGCTGTATCCGCCAGTGTTAGTGATGACCGTGAAATGTCGATCCGCCGCCGTTCGCAGCAATTGGGCCTCTGTTACTCCACTACGTGGAAAATTTTGCGACAGGATTTGGGTGTAAAACCTTATAAGATACAGCTGGTGCAAGAATTGAAGCCACACGACCTCCCACAACGTTTCCAATTTGGTGAATGGGCGCTGGCGAAGTTGGAGGAAGATCCACATTTTTATCGAAAAATTGTGTTCAGCGACGAAGCTCATTTCTGGTTGAATGGGTACGTTAACAAGCAAAATTGCCGCATCTGGAGTGAAGACCTGCCAGAAGCATTGCAAGAGCTACCAATGCATCCCGAAAAAATCACTGTTTGGTGTGGATTATGGGCCGGTGGCATCATCGGGCCGTACTTCTTCAAAGACGACAATGGCCGGAACGTAACTGTGAATGGCGAGCGCTACCGTGCGATGATAACAAACTTTTTTTTGCCCAAAATGGAAGAGCTGGACTTGGCTGACATGTGGTTTTAAAAAGACGATGCCACATGCCACACCGCACACAAAACAATGGCCCTACTGAGAGGCGAGTTCGGTGAACAGTTTATCTCACGTTTGGGGCCCGTCAATTGGCCGCCTAGATCGTGTGATTTAACGCCGTTGGACTTTTTCTTGTGGGGCCATGTTAAGGCTAATGTCTACAGGGATAAACCAGCAACGATTGACGCACTGGAAGCCAATATTGAAGCATTTATTCGTGAGATACCGGCCGATATGTTGGAGTGTGCCAAAATTGGACCTTGCGCATGGGCCATCTAAAGCGGAGCCGCGGCCAACATTTACATAAAATAATCTTTAAACATTAAATTATATCGACCGTTCTATCGACTCAAATAAAGATTTAATCGTTTTTTCAAATTTATTTTGAAAATCAAATCCTATACCTCTTAAAAAATCACCCGTTAAAAGCCTTATTTTTGCTCCCTAATTGTACTTCAGCTTGTCACCCAATTGACCAAGAATTTTAAAACTTATTATCCAACGAACACCTGCTAGTAAACATTGAAACTGCTGGTACAGCTTTTGAGTTAATAAGAAAATTGTCATTGGATGCAGTTAATTTGGCAAACACCGCTTGGGACCAAGAAACCAAAGAGATATCGCAAAATTGCTTCCGAAAAGCAGGATTTAAGCATGTAAATATGCAAAGTGTGACCAGTTAAATGAGGCTGATACACCTGACCCAGAAGATGACTTACCACTAAATGTACTTTCAGATATCCTCAAAAATAAGAATACATTGAAACTGATTGTTAATGAAAACCTTTATAATTTTTTGAATCTTCGGGTGTCATGTCTAAACCAGTTTTGATGGATTTTAGCTCAAAGACAGAGTAAACCTTGGGGTTGGGCATAGGCTAGGGATTGAAATAGGGAACAAAAATTATGGTAAAACTGTTATTTTTTAAATTAGGGGGTTTTTATATTAGGTTTATTGATAGAATCAAAATTAGCACTTATAATAGAATTTTTGATATTCCAGCCCTAGAGGGGTGTAGTGGAGGTTAAAACCTTTGAATGTTTTTGGAATTTTACAATGTTTCAAATCAAACCAGTCTAAACATGCTGTTTTTATATTTTTTTGGGGGTTCCACCACTAAGGGTGTGAAGTGGGGTTAACACTTTTGTTGAAAACCATGATTCTAAAGAGGATGTAAACTTTGCAGTTAAAAATGTGTTCAAGTTTAAAACCTTTGCTGTTACATAAGAGGTAGTACTTTGGAAATATCCTTTATTTCTGAAAGATCTATGTGTCCCAAGGCCATGCTTACAATTAACTACTGTAATAAGCCAATATTAATCAAACTTATAACAACTAAAAAATATTTTTTCTAAAGTTTCTACAGATTAACTTACTTGGCCAGAATATAGGTGACAAAATCCCCTGACAATCTTTTCCTTGTACAAACTTCCAGCTGAAGTCTCCAACCTTCGGATGGTGTGCATCCTAGTATACATCCGAAGGGCATCTTCTTTATTGATGGTTGCAGACGTTGGAGGAGCATCTTCTAACTTGTACAATTTGCAGGGCTGCACAAAAAGAAATTTTAAGATGGGAAGTCAAGTTGGAAAAGCGTTTTTTACCTTTGTTTCAAAGGTGGCTTCTGTGGCATAGTTATTCTGCTTTGTGAACAGGCCCAATGTTTTCTGCAATGAAATACAAAGTTATACCAAATAATTGCTGATTTCAAAATAAAATACCATTACACAATATTCTATATTGTAAATAATTCGTTTCCTCACTTTCAGGAGGTCCTTAAACACGTCTTTGGCCATCTCTAATCAAATGACCATTTTAACCTTGCAATTATTCCACTGATAAGCTCCTGAAAAGGGATAAATCAATATCACCACATACCTTTGGAACCGTCAATTTACGGCTTGCAGTTCGAACTGTGTTGGGTATCATTATGAATAAAGTAAAAAACTACAAAAAAATATGTAAATTATAGACCTTAAAGCTAACAGGACGACAGATGATTTGGAAATGGAGAAAGGTTAGGTTTTTAAATGTGAAGGTCGGAGAAGGTCATGAAAGCTGTCAAATTGACGTACTAGTTCATGGAACAAGTAAAAGCTGAAAAGATTATAAGTGGAGATGAGTAACTCCTTCTCTAAATTAGACATGTTTGATTATCCGCCATTTTGGGTCTCACGTTCTACAATTACTCCTGTTCCAAAAGTGAAAAATTTTGAGTTATATACATACATGCGGCCAATTAATGTACTGCCAGATGTCGAGAAGCTCTTAGAAGAAATCATATATGAACAAGTCATTGAATATATTGAAGAAAATAAGATATTGACAAAATTTCAAGCAGAATACAGAAAAAAGTATTCTACTGAAACAGCAATTCAAATGGTAGTAGAATAATGAAGGCGAAATATGGATGAAAAAAGGTTTACAGTTAACATTGTTCTTAGATTTCAAGAGATCATTTGAGACTATTGACAGGGAGAAATTGTTAACGAAAATGCGTTGCTATGGATTTCAAGGTTCGGTATTCAACTTATTACAAAATTATTTAATCAATAGAAGTCAAAGAACTAAAATTGGCAATACACTATCAAACATTAAAAACATTTCGGTAGGTGTGCCACAGGGTAGCCAATTAGGTCCATTACTATTTATTTTATATATCATAACGATATTCCTGATATTTCACAACACTGCAAAATTCAACTATTTGCTGATGGTACATTAATATATATATATATATATATATATATATATATATATATTATACAGGGTGAGTTTGAAGTTGAGTCATTAATTTTCAGATAATGATTGTAGAAGGAAGATAAACCAAAATATGTGTGTAAAAATAAAAAAAAAATAAAAAAAAAATTTTACCTTGTTTTATAAAGTATCTTCCCGACAAGTATTTCAGTGCGGACCTGTATTTGATCGTGAGGTCTTGGAGCACCGGCATGCCGTCCATATGTCAGGTCTTAAGTCAAATGATTCACGAGCCCGTTCTACTACATTAACAAAGGCACGAGGGGTTGGTTGCACTTGATTGGGAAACCGATCCACATAAACATGTGCCATTTTTTATTTCGTTTGAGCCACGCAACAGACACCACTATCCACTACCGACTGACACTGACTGTATGACTGTATACAACTGAAGAAATAATTGTAAAAACATCGTTCCAAATTCTTTCGCTTTTTTGTTTCCGATGCGATGAACCGATAAGGCGAATTATATCCGTTGTCGCCAAACACGAGCACATAATATTATTATTGAGACAGGGCGGTACTCAAACTTCCAAAGGGCTATAACTTTGTTACTTTAATTTTACCAGAAAAATGGTAAAGGAAAAAAACATTTCTTTTGATCAGATCTACTCACTGTTAAAATAAATGACTCAACTTCGAAGTCACCCTGTATATATACAAAACTGCAGTAGCAATATAACGAGCATGTCGGTATTTCAAAAGGGATTGTACGAATTTAATAAATTAAGTAATGATATCAAGATGTGTGTCAGTTTGAAAATGTTCAAAGGGAAATTAAAAAAATATCTCATGGAAAACCAGAATTCATAGTAGTGAAAATTTGTATAAAAATATGTAGTCTTGAAGACATAATATATTTTATGATATACTGTATAATATTGATTTTATGGACACTGTAGCATTAATGCTAAATAAATCTGAAACAAACAAAATGAATAGACACCCCACCCTAAATATCTACGCTACTGACTAAGCTTGTACCTAGTAACTTTATTTGCGATAGGTTGCCGGCCATGGTAAATGTCATTTGTGAACTGGAGATGAGTGACTCGTATGATTATCCGCCATTTTGGGTCTCATAAATAGCCGCCCCGCCCCCAAAAATCTACGTCACTGACCAAGCCTGTACCTAGTAACTTTATTTGCGCTAGGTTGCCGGCCATGGTGAATGTCACTTGAACATGTCATTTGAGAACTGTCAGTTGCGTTGTCACCTTTCGCGTAAACCGTAGACACGTCAACGTCATCTTTTTCCTAAAAGGGTGTAATGTTTTTCAGAAAAAAGAATATACACCCTAGAGATTAGTGTAATTTTCATATAAAATATCATCAAAATGGTAAGTACCTTCAACAAGTTCAAATAAGAGAATTCTAACCATGTTAAAGTACGTGTTTTCTGAAATACTTGTTTCTCGTTGTAGGTGCTTATAGCAGCTGCTGTCTGTACCAAAGCAGGCAAAAGTGAGTAGGAATAAGCATAATCCAACTTTAGAATACTGAAAAAAATCTGTTTTTATAGCTATCGTGTCTCGACAGTTCGTGGAAATGACGAAGGCGCGTATCGAAGGGCTACTTGCAGCATTTCCAAAATTGATTCCAACTGGGACCCAACATACATTCGTTGAGACAGATTCAGTACGCTACGTATATCAACCTCTGGAAAGGTTATACATGCTGCTAATCACAACAAAAGCTAGTAATATATTGGAAGATCTTGAAACATTGCGACTGTTCGCAAGAGTCGTAAGTACACCTTATTTCTGATTCATGCGGGCCTAGCTGCAACTTGAGGCAATGTTTCTCATTGTGATTTTTCCAGATACCAGAGTATTGTCGGTCATTGGACGAAAATGATGTAGCAGAAAATGCCTTTTCACTAATATTTGCGTTTGATGAGATAGTAGCATTAGGTTATAGAGAAAGTGTGAACTTGTCACAGATCCGCACTTTTGTTGAAATGGATTCACATGAGGAAAAAGTTTATCAGGCTGTTAGACAGGTAAAGCTTTCCTTTCTCATACCTTCGTCACACAATTATGCCGATGGCAGTACTGATTATCCAAAAACATGTATTGATAATTTGTAAATCTAATTTATTTATTTGCCAAAAAATTGTTTTAATGAGTACAAAGTAAACAGGCTTGAAAAGAAAGTAATAAGTATTTTCAGTACTATTTTAATTTGAAAATTATCAACAATAGAGCTGATAAGGCCTTGATTTGTTGAATAATGTAGAGTCAAGAGAGGGAAGCAAAAAACAAGATGCGGGAGAAAGCAAAAGAGTTGCAGAGACAGAAAATGGAGGCTGCGAAGAAGGGTATCAAACCATCTTTCGGGAGTTCTGGAGGTTTTGGAAGCAACTCAACTTATACTTCTACACCAACTGTTGGGGACCTTGCTAATATTTCAAATGATGTCAAGCCACCAGCATATAGTGCTCCAGTACAGTTAGTATCATTTAAGATACTCATACATATTGGAATATATTCAACAATATTACAAGGCATAATTGTTTTGCCATACACTTATTAAGTCCATTTACTAAATCTAGTTAGCATATGTGACCTATTTTATTTATTTAATGGTTTTCATATGGTGTTTCCGTTTAAGCATTATCTGTAACCAATCCACAGTATTTTGCATTTGTCTACTTATTTTTTTGGAGAGCTTGAGTTTTTGATATAAACATAGGAATCTTGTTTTTTCGAATGGAATGGGAATGAAAAGGACTGCATATGAATCAACCTTATTCTCATATTATTTTTTGTATAGAGCTGTAATTTTCATGGTTTCTTATTATTTTTAAAGCACCAAAAAGATTTTTACTTTTCACAAATATACTAAGTGACATATAAATCCAAACACCCAGTTTAAATGGTTTTATTTTAATAAAATTTTGTATAAGTACTTAATGAAGCATAATAAGTAAATGATAAAAATGTCAAAATGATTGCACTGCTTTAAAGCCCTTTGACCTTTAATAATGTGTGGATGCACCCTGATGTGCTACACATTCTCCAATGCGCCTAGGCATGCTTCTGATCAGGTGGTCAATGTCCTCCTGTGGTATCTCATTCCAGGCAACCACCAACTCCTCTCGAAGTGCTTCTAGAGTCTGAGGAGGACGTTGCAAATTGAGCAATCTCCTACCCACACGTGCTCAATTGGGGATAAGTCGGGAGATCTTGGTGGCCATGGTAACAATGTGACATCATTATGTTGAAAGAAGTCTATTGTGACTCTTGCAACATGTGGTCGGGCATTATCTTGTTGGAAAGTTGGATCTGCCAGGGTAAAAGATGGGGTTCTAGAACTTCGTGGATATAATGCAGCGTGTTCATGTTACCTCTGATGAAGATTAAAGGTGACCTGGAACCATAAGCTATAGCACCCCAAACCATAACTCCAACAGTGTGATGAACATGTCTTTCAACAAAAAACTGTGGATTCCTCCTTTCACCACGTCGCCGTCTAACCCTGGCACGACCATCGTGCATGCCTAAACAAAATCGAGACTCGTCACTAAAGACAATACTGTTCCATTCCTGATCCCAGAGTGACCGTTGTCTGCACCACTCAAGGCGATTACGTCGGTGTTCTCGAGTTAAAGGGAGGACCCAGTGTGGCCGGTATGAAAACAAACCAAAACTTCTCATTCGTCGGTAAACACTTCGCATGCCAATAGGTCTTCTGTGTTGTGCAAACCATTCATTTGCAATGGACCTGGTAGTGGAGAAACGGTCCCTTAAGGCCAATAATCTTAGGCGGCGATCTTCACGGTCTGTTGTTCTACGGCGGCGTCCAGTGCCCCTTGCTCTTTGCGTACGGCCTTCTCGAAGCCATGCCTGACAACACCTAACCACAGTGTCTACACTTCTTTGCACTCTAACTGCAATTGCCCGAAAAGAAAGTCCAGCTTCCCGAAGTCCCACTATACGGCCCCTATCAAACTCACCAAGTTGACGAAATCGTACAGGTCTCCGTACTCTAGGCATCGTAACCGATCGTAAAGGATGTCAAGAACCAAAATCCGCCAAAGTTGATTCTTTACTGCGGCTGAAATATTCATTTTTAGAGCGTTAGTGAATTAAAAAAAAGCAGTATAAAAACCGGAATGTCCAACTGATAAGGCTGAAAATTTTTTCACTTGTTATTTACAGTAAGATAAATACATTCACCAACTTTTATTAAAATAAAACCATTTAAACTGGGTGTTCGGATTTATATGTCACTTAGTATATCTTATCAGCAATTGAATATATTCCAATTTTGTGAATAGAGAATTTTTATTGATAATATTTTCGATTATTATTGTAGGAAACCAAAAGGTATGAAGCTCGGAGGCAAAGGGCGTGATGCAGAATCATTTTTAGATCAGCTTAAATCAGAGGGTGAAAATGTGATTGCGCAGGTGAAAAATAACATTTCTCAGCAGGGACCTAAGGCTCCAGCTATCAAATCAGAAATTGATGAGTGAGTATAAGTCATTATTTATGAGACATTCCAAATTCCTTAATAAAGTATCTCTGTTCATCATGTGAGGAGCACGTGGTGAGGACTGTCAAATTGATTGCAGCATGTAATGTGTCACATTGCTATACAGGGTGTAAACGTTATGCTAGTCATTATTGATGTGGGTATTAGGGGGTCAAAACAAGTCAAAAAGTTCGTATGACCCATGGTCCAAAAGTCAATAGATTTTTCTCTAAATTACGACTTTAAGACCACAATCTACTAATTTGTATAGTCTAATCGAAAGCGTTTTTAAATTGGGTAATTAACAAATAAATGGCATTAAGTTTTTCTAAGTTAAGCCAAAATTTGTAGTCTGTAAGTATCATTAAATGAAATATATAAAACACACATGACAACAGCGCGTCGGTCATTCATCACTCTTATCGAACCGGCAATCGATCGCAAACAGTAACAGTGGTTAGTTATTGTTCGCGTACGTCGTCGTGTTTATTTACAATGTTCTCGAATCAAGGGTTCGTCGACGTGTTGTTAGTTTACGGTGAAGCTCGTCAGAATTCAAATCTTGCAGCTCAAATTTATCGCGGCAGATTTCGCCAACGGGTACACCCAGACAGAAGGACATTTGTGCAAGTGTACCAAAGACTTTGCACAAAAACATTGAAAATCCGGATTTTTTTAAAAACATTCTAGCGACGGACGAATGTACTTTTACGCGAGACGGGATATTAAATTTCCATAATACTCACACGTGGGCCCAAGAAAATCCTCATACCAGTCGTGAAGGTCAGTTCCAACAACGTTTTAAAATAAATATTTGGGCGGGTATTCTTGACGATCAGGTAATTGGCCCTTTCGAGTTACCCCCAAATTTGTCAGGAGAAGGATACCTTAGCTTTCTAGCCAATAACCTACCAGAACTTTTGGAACAGACCTTAGACAACATGCCACTACAACGGAGTCAGAATTTGTGGTTTCTTCATGATGGGGCACCACCACTCATTTTTAGAGGCCTCATTCAGTATTTGAATGAACATTATCCAAATCGCTGGATCGGTCGAAATGCTCCTGATACTCGAAAATGGCCAGCAAGATCTTGTGATCCGATGGATTTCTGGTATAGGGGAGAACTTAAAGGGATGGTTTATGGGGCTGGTCCAATAACAACTGAAGCACAACTTCGCGAAAAAATTGTGTGACGATAATTTTGAACATAGGATTGAATGGTACTAATGAACGCTGGTACATGGGCTGAAATTCTCGTAACATTGTATTTCTTGCAGTGTCCATCTGAGGTTGGAGGAGAAACTAATCGTAATATTAGGACGTGATGGAGGCGTCCAACATTTCGAACTACTTGGCCTAGTAACATTACACATCGGAGACGAACGTTGGGGCAGGGTACGCGTACAGCTGGAAACAGAAAACAGACATGGACTCCAGTTGCAGACGCATCCTAACGTCGACAAGGAGTTGTTCAAGTCTCGTTCGCAGGTAACACGTTTTCCAATCCACAGGTGGCTTGATCCGTCAGGCCATTTGCACGTGTTGTTTCGATTATACTGTCTAGACACACTTTCAAAGTTATTTGCTTACGCGCGACTCCAGGCTATAATCTATCTCTGAACCAAATTTCATCCAGGTCCTTTCAGCCGTTTAGGCGTGATTGCGTAACAAACATCGACACTTTCTCGTTAATAATATCAGTAATAATTCTCATTATTCATTTTTTTTTTCAGATTGGTCTAAAACAACCCTCAAAACCTTTCCCGCTGCACACGGACGTAGGAGTTTTAAAATGGCGTATGCAAAGCACAGACGAGAACCTTGTGCCTTTGCTGATCAACTGTTGGCCCTCAGAAAACGGTGACGGATGCGACGTCAACATCGAATATGAACTGTCTCATACCAATTTGGAGCTGTATGACGTTAATATCACCATTCACTTGCCGTGAGTATATCTCTCAATAGATTGTAGCTTCAGGGTTGTAAATACAGCAGACGCTCGATAACGTAAACACGGGATAATGAAAACTTGCGCTAATGTAAACACAAACTTCGTTCTGTAGGATCAACCGGAACGCGCGATAACGTAAACAACTCTCGGCGCACGGAAACAGCGCGACGGTAAAATTTATGTCGGGCGTCGGGGAGTCCCCGATTTATGATGTAGAGTGTCGGGGATTCACCTCTGCGATAAAATGCGACAAACTCGGTCAGTCGTATGATCGTTTAGGATACGTTTATACGTACGTTTTGAACTTAAGTGAATACATTGCACGCGTTAATATATTTTACGACTATGGCATCCACATCCTATAAAAGAAAGTGTTTAAAGTTGAGTGAGAAAGTGAAAATCATAGACGAAGTTGCACTAGGTGCGGGAGTGACACAGTTAGCAAAAAAATATGGAGTATCGAAAGCAACAATCTGTAAAATTAAGCGTATGAAAACTCAAATTTTACAAAGAACGTGCAATACATTTGGAGGTCCGGGAACAAGAAAAACTCAAAAAAATGCGAAGGCACCTAAAATGGAAAATTCCCTGTATAAGTGGTTTTTAAAACAACGGGAAAATCATGTCCCAGTTAGTGGCGAAGTACTTAAACAGAGAGCGAGACTGTTAAATGAAAAACTGAAAATTTCGTAGCTAGTGATGGCTGGCTTCAACGATTCAAAACAAGATATGGAATTCGACTGCTGTCTATATCTGGTGAAAAATTATCAGCACAACCACAATTAGTGCAACCATCCAAAGAAAAATTGATGAAAACAATTACCGAGCTAGATTTAAGAATGGAATAAATTTACAACGCAGATGAAAGTGGCCTTTATTGGAAAATGTTGCCAAAGAAAACCTATGCTGCATCATTTGAAAAATCTGCCCCGGGAAGAAAGCCGGAGAAACAACGAATAACGTTTCTAGCCTGCACTAATGCTAATGGTTCACACAAAATAAAGCCACTGGTAATTGGGAAAGCAAAAAATCCGCGCTTATTTAAAAATGTTAATATCCCAGTTGATTATGACTGTTCAAAAACCGCTTGGATGACTAGCAGTATATTACTGAAATGGTTCCACAGGTGCTTTGTCCCTCAGGTATGACAATCAATTGTCACAAATGCTCTATTCATAATTTGAAGATGTGTTTGCAATTTGTAGGTAAAACGTTTCCTAAAACAACAGAAGCTTCCAATAAAAGCGTTGTTACTATTGGATAATGCACCAAGTCATCCTCCCGAGCAACAACTAAGGAGCAGGGATGGGTCAATTTTCGTCATGTACATGCCGCCCAACGTAACACCGTTAATTCAAACGATGGACCAGCATATAATAAGACTCACCAAACTATACTATAGGAAGTTTCTACTTTCGTCTGTCTTATCAAAGAATCCTGAAATCTGAGGCTTTAAAAAAAGTAACATTACGAGAAGCTGTTTTAGATTTACATATGGCCTGGAATGAACTTAACCAGCAAACTATTCAAAAATGTTGGAACAATCTCTTTTGTACCAATAATGAAGATGATGAAGAAGACGATGTCCCCTCAAGCGTAATTAGAGAACGTTTGCGATCCAATAATGATAATGTTATTAGTGTGTCATTGGATGTTGTTGATTTATTGAAAACAGTGAATCCCAACATTGTTTGTACTCCTGCCGATATTAATTTATGGAACGAAGATACGCTGACGAATGATGCTGATAAGGAGGAGGATATGGACAGTGAGGATGATGAGAACGATCCCATTGAAGTCAGAAGTGTAGTGACTGACGCGCAAGCTATACAAGTTTTTAACCAAGCTTTAGATTGGGCTGAAAGAAAAGAAGTTTCATACACGGATATTTTAGTTCTTCGTAAATTACGGGCGCAGGCATTGGAAGACAATGCTAAGCGCAAATTACGCAGACAAAAATTGTTAATTATTTTTCTTCTAATTAAAAAAATACTTATCGCAGTTAGAATATTTGTTTATTTTGTTATAAATAGTATGTATTAAACGTTTCTTTTGATAAATCAAATATTATATAAATCACGTTCGCTAATGTAAACATTAGTTTACGTTATCGAGCGTCTGCTGTACTACCAAATCAACATATGCCACCAGAACGCGGATTCCGGAACATTTTGTTTGTTTAAAATTCACATACTATTCTGAGACACGCTGTGTATTTGTCGACGACCGTCTTTAGTTGACAGTGTTGCCAATTCTCGGAGTGTTGGCACAGATTATGGGATCTCCTTTTCCGGCGTTGAGAAAATATTTTTTAACGTGTATGTAGCGATACTTTATTTTTATACCAGTTACATAAACATACAGGGTGTTCCTTAATGATATGCGAATATTTAAGGGTGTGACTAAATGAAAAATTAATGTTTATAAACTATGGTCCAAAAATGTTTCCTAACAAAAAATTGTGTTGAAGTTTTAGGAAAAAATGGGAATTAATATTTTCAGAACGGCTTCAGATGTGTCACTGATATTTAGTATGTAGTGAAAGTTGAACAAGTTGCATATTTTTCAATGCAAAAATAATTTATAGCTTTAACAGTGGTCTGCGTACGGGTATTGACTTCGATATTTTTTAAGAAAAAGTTTTGAACTCGCAAATACCGTACATTCACCCATATATACTAAGTGACATATAAATCCGAACAGCCAGTTTAAATGGTTTTTTTTTCAATAAAGGTTGGTGAATGTATTTATCTTACTGTAAATAACAAGTGAAATAATTTTCAGCCTTATCAGTTGGACATTCCGTTTTTATACTGCTTTTTTTTAATTCACTAACGCTCTAAAAATGAATATTTCAGCCGCAGTAAAGAATCAAGGTTGGCGGATTTTGGTTCTTGACATCCTTTACGATCGGTTACGATGCCTAGAGTACGGAGACCTGTACGATTTCGTCAACTTAGTGAGTTTGATAGGGGCCGTATAGTGGGACTTCGGGAAGCTGGACTTTCTTTTCGGGCAATTGCAGTTAGAGTGCAAAGAAGTGTAGACACTGTGGTTAGGTGTTGTCAGGCATGGCTTCGAGAAGGCCGTACGCAAAGAGCAAGGGGCACTGGACGCCGCCGTAGAACAACAGACCGTGAAGATCGCCGCCTAAGATTATTGGCCTTAAGGGACCGTTTCTCCACTACCAGGTCCATTGCAAATGAATGGTTTGCAGAACAAGGAAGACCTATTTTCATGCGAAGTGTTTACCGACGGATGAGAAGTTTTGGCTTGTTTTCATACCGGCCACACTGGGTCCTCCCTTTAACTCGAGAACACCGACGTGATCGCCTTGAGTGGTGCAGACAACGGTCACTCTGGGATCAGGAATGGAACAGTATTGTCTTTAGTGACGAGTCTGGATTTTGTTTAGGCATGCACGATGGTCGTGCCAGGGTTAGAAGGCGACGTGGTGAAAGGAGGAATCCACAGTTTTTTGTTGAAAGACATGTTCATCACACTGTTGGAGTTATGGTTTGGGGTGCTATAGCTTATGGTTCCAGGTCACCTTTAATCTTCATCAGAGGTAACACGAACGCGCAGCGTTATATCCACGAAGTTCTAGAACCCCATCTTTTACCCTATCTTGACACCCTGGCAGATCCAACTTTCCAACAAGATAATGCCCGACCACATGTTGCAAGAGTTACAATAGACTTCTTTCAACATAATGATGTCACATTGTTAACATGGCCACCAAGATCTCCCGACGTATCCCCAATTGAGCACGTGTGGGATATGATGGGTAGGAGATTGCTCAATTCGCAACGTCCTCCTCAGGCTCTAGAAGCACTTCGAGAGGAGTTGATGGTTGCCTGGAATGAGATACCACAGGAGGACATTGACCACCTGATCAGAAGCATGCCTAGGCGCGTTGGAGAATGCGTAGCACATCAGGGTGCATCCACACATTATTAAAGGTCAAAGGGCTTTAAAGCAGTGCAATCATTTTGAAATTTTTATCATTTACTTATTATGCTTCATTAAGTACTTATACAAAATTTTATTAAAATAAAACCATTTAAACTGGGTGTTCGGATTTATATGTCACTTAGTATATTTATTGCCGAGACGTTGGGAGATAGTATGAATTCGTTACAGGATCGGTTGCAATCCGGTGGTAGGAGAATGCGACGGAACTTACAGCCATGAGGCGAGGCGTAACCAGTTGACATGGAGCTTGCCACTTATAGATGCTACGAGCAAAAATGGATCTATGGAATTTAACGCACCTAGGGCAAATCCCAACGATTTCTTCCCTCTTACGGTTTCGTTTACTTCAAAATCTTCGTACGCCAACATTAAGGTTAGTGACAATTTAATTTTTGTTTGTTCTTTTAAGATTCATTTAGCAATTTTTTTTATAAATCGGATGCACGAATCTTGAAATTGATTTAGTTTTTCGCCAACATTGCCGTAAGGTCCCAAAAGGAGGAAGGATGTAGTATCTCTGCTTTTGTGGTTGACATTCGTATAGTAAATATGACCTTTTTTCAGGTATCTGAGGTGGTTTTGGTAGACGATGAATCGCCAGTGAAGTATTCAGTTGAATCAGTTTTACATCCAGAAAAGTATGAGATAGTGTAATTAATAAATGTTTACAGGGGCATGTTTTTGATAGGTCAGGAACGATTGATCATAGTATGTACAGAAAAACGTGTTTGTTTCTAGCATTCTGAGTTATATGTTACAAAGTCACAATACAGGGCCAATATATAACAGAGTAATTTGTTCCACCATATCGTCAAAATGAAATAGATCCAATTTAATCTTTTATGAAAAGTAATATAACATAAATAGAGAGACGTATAAGGGTATCAAATCTGGTGATCTAGAGGGCCACATCACATCGCCTAATGGAAACATTCCCAAAATAATCATCATTTCTTTAACTGTTCTATCATGTTGGAACTACATTTATTTCAGGTCAAAATAGATTGTTAGAAAATCCAAGAAAGGTCTGATGACAGGCGAGTGTACTCAGGTTTGTGTGGCTTCCAAATGTGACAGATCCAACTAAATATTTTTTTTTACAATTGCGAGAGATAAAGTTAAAGTATGGATCTAACTCTGTGGTAGCCTCAAATTGGTCGGTTATGTATTGGCCAGTCTGTAGTTGAAATCATGCCTTTGTATAGGAAAAAGGTGTCTTTAAGGAATAATTCACTATTTGTATAAAACATTATACTAAACTTATTTGTTCATGCATTGTTGCTTTTGTACAAAAGTTGAAAAAAGTAAATGTGTCCTTTATTTTTACCTATATAATAAAAGTGAAGTAAGTTACGATTCACTATTTACTATGTAGAAAATATAGTTTTTTATATATACATGTATATTTACTCGAGGCAACATTGCGTTTTATTCACTCTTCTACTTTTCATTCAGGGAGAAAATGCGATTCTCGAATAAAAAACACCGGAAGTATCATAGCTTGTATAATGGATAAAAAATAATTACAGATGTGAACTTAATTAAACTAACTTCAAAATATGTACACTGTTACGATTTCGCAAGGTGTTATTTCACCAAGCCCAATCTCTTTGCTTCCACTTCGTAAATCAACAATCGCCACATCTTCACGACAAATACCTCGGCTTCTTCGTCTAATACCTGCAAAAAATTATCCAGATTAGAAATGCGCTTAGTTGATTTCCCAATCATTGCAAATTACAGCAGACGCTCGATAACGTAAACACGGGATAATGTAAACACAAACTTCGTTCTATGGGATCAAACGGAACGCGCGATAACGTAAACAATGTGTACGCTTGGTAAATTAAACGACTCTCGGCGCACGGAAACAGCGCGACGGTAAAATGCTGAAGCCTCGATGATTTATGTCGGGCGTCGGGGAGTCCCCGATTTATGATGTAGGGTGTAGGGGATTCACCTCTGCGATAAAATACGACAAACTCGGTCAGTCGTATGATCGTTTAGGATACGTTTATACGTACGTATGTATTTCATTTTTGAACTTAAGTGAATACATTGCACGCGTTAATATATTTTACGACTATGGCATCCACATCCTATAAAAGAAAGTGTTTAAAGTTGAGTGAGAAAGTGAAATTCATAGACGAAATTTAACACTAGGTGCAGGAGTGACACAGTTAGCAAAAAAATATGGAGTATCGAAAGCAACAATCTGTAAAATTAAGCGTATGAAAACTCAAATTTTACAAAGAACGTGCAATACATTTGGAGGTCCGGGAAAAAGAAAAACTTTAAAAAATGCGAAGGCACCTAAAATGAAAAATTCCCTGTATAAGTGGTTTTTAAAACAACGGGAAAATCATGTCCCAGTGGCGAAGTACTTAAACAGAGAGCGAGACTGTTAAATGAAAAACTGAAAGAAACTGAAATTTTCGTAGCTACAAATTTACAACGCAGATGAAAGTGGCCTTTATTGGAAAATGTTAGAATAGAAAACCTATGCTGCATCATTTGAAAAATCTGCCCCGGGAAGAAAGCCGGAGAAACAACGAATAACGTTTCTAGCCTGCACTAATGCTAATGGTTCACACAAAATAAAGCCACTGGTAATGGGGAAAGCAAAAAATCCGCGCTCATTTAAAAATGTTAATGTCCCTGTTGATTATGACTGTTCAAAAACCGCTTGGATGACTAGCAGTATATTCCTGAAATGGTTCCACAGGTGCTTTGTCCCTCAGGTATGACAATCAATTATCACAAATGCTCTATTCATAATTTGAAGATATGTTTTCAATTTGTAGGTAAAAGGTTTCCTAAAACAACAGAAGCTTCCAATAAAAGCGTTGTTACTATTGGATAATGCACCAAGTCATCCTCCCGAGCAACAACTGAGGAGCATGGATGGGTCAATTTTCGTCATGTACATGCCGCCCAACGTAACACCGTCAATTCAACCGATGCACCAGAATATAAGACTTACCAAACTATACTATAGGAAGTTTCTACTTTCGTCTGTCTTATCAAAGAATCCTGAAAACTTATCTGAGGCTTTAAAAAAAGTAACATTACGAGAAGCTGTTTTAGATTTACATATGGCCTGGAATGAACTTAACCAGCAAACTATTCAAAAATGTTGGAACAATCTCTTTTGTACCAATAATGAAGATGATGAAGAATACGATGTTCCCTTAAGCGTAATTAGAGAACGTTTGCGATCCAATAATGATAATGTTATTAGTGTGTCATTGGATGTTGTTGATTTATTGAAAACAGTGAATCCCAACATTGTTTGTACTCCTGCTGATAAGCAGACGAATGATGCTGATAAGGAGGAGGATATGGTCAGTGAGGATGATGAGAACGATCCCATTGAAGTCAAAAGTGTAGTGACTGACGCGCAAGCTATACAAGTTTTTAACCAAGCTTTAGATTGGGCTGAAAGAAAAGAAGTTTCATACACGGATGTTTTAGTTCTTCGTAAATTACGGGCGCAGGCATTGGAAGACAATGCTAAGCGCAAATTTACGCAGACAAAAAGTGTTAATTATTTTTCTTCTAATTAAAAAAATGTTAAAATATTTGTTTATTTTGTTATAATTAGTATGTATTAAACGTTTCTTTTAATAAATCAAATATTATATAAATCACGTTCGCTAATGTAAACATTTCGATAATGTGAACCACACTTGGATTAAATTAGTTTACATTATCGAGCGTCTGCTGTATTTCAAAAATAAGTTTCCTAACGCTGAAACCTTGCCGCACGTTATGCTAGGCGAAATATGGCAACACCGTCGTGTTTGTCGGCTCCTCCACCGCCGATCCCAACTAGGAGCGCCTATTGGCCTGTCGGCTAAGCGCAATGGAGCCTTCAAATTCGTGCGGACCATTCATCGCCGGTCGAGCGAAGTATATGAGAAATGTGTATAAGCGTTCAACGTGTCCTCAATTGGTTTGACATCCACGATGAACAACGAAGCGGGAGGCCGTCGATCTCCGAGGAAGTTATGGCAAAGATTGAGCAAATGTTGCTCGAAGATCGACGAATCACGATCCGGGAACAGGCGGTTTAAATTCCTTAGGCTTCTGATAAAGCTGAGACGGGCAATCCAAAATCGTCGAGTGAAACTCTCCAAAGCGTAAGACTGGATCACAATTCGCACCTCATGTCTTACAACAAATGAAGGACTGAATCGAGCGATTTGCCTGGGAAGCCCTTACAAAGCGTATCCGAAATAAAAATGCGTAAAAAGGGCGACTATGTAGAAAAATAACGTTTCCAATGGCAAATTCGTTTTTCAAATAAAAAATTCTTTGTGCCTGAAAAAAATGTGGGAACCTTATTTTTGAGACACCCTCGTAAATATGCTGCTTAAAACTTTTCAGTTCGAAGAACTCCCAATTTCAATTACGGCTTCTCTTTTGAAATCTGTAACTTAGTAAATGAAAAGAAAAAAATATATATACAGTAATGGACAAAAGTATATAGACAAATATGAATATTTACCTAAATACCTTTAGAAAACGAATTCATACTTCATTGTTCCATAAACAAATGCGTTATTAGTAGAAAAACTAAATTCCTTGTTTTTACATTATCTGCGATGAACGCAAGTCTGAATATAAGCACTTTTTTATGAGGGACAAAAATATGTAGACAAATTCTTTTCAACATTAGTTTAGTACAGTTTCGTGTCAGAAGAGGATTAGTTTGTGTTTATCAAGAATTGTGGAATAAGTTGAGTGATTTTAAGACAATGCCGCGTGGTCCAGAAATTTCTTTCGATGTGAAAACTAAGATCATTGAGTTATACAAAGATGGTCAACATCAAGTCGACATAGCCAAAAATTTGAAGCTGAAGCGTAAAGCAGTTTGGGCAATATTGAACAAATATAAACAAAAAGGTGTCTTGGAAGCCTCTAAGAGAAGTGGTCGGCCTAGAAAACTAAATGCTAGATCAGTTAGATTAATAAAAGTAATTTCGTCCAAAGATCCGTTTAAAACCCCAAGACAAATAAAAGCCGAAATCGAGACAAAAGGAATTGTCAGTGTTTCTACGAAAACTATAAGTAGAAGATTAAATGATTCGAAGTTATTTGCACGTCGCCCGAGTAGGAAGCCGCTAATCTCGAGGAAAAACCGTAAGAACCGATTACAATTTGCAGGGTTGCATCTTGATTGGAGCATCTGTGACTGGAAGAGGGCATGTTTCAGTGACGAATCCAAGTTCAATATGTTTGGATCAGATGGTGTTCATTACGTTAGATGTCCTAGTGGACAAAGATTGAACCCCAAGTACACTTTGCCTACTGTTAAACATGGAGTCGGGTCTGTTATGGTTTGGGGTTGCTTTTCGGGGTTTGGGATGGGACCTTTACATAGAATAGATGGCATTATGGCTAAGTTTGTTTACACAGACATACTAAAGCATGTCATGTTACCCTATATGGAAGACAATATGCCCTTAAGATCAATCTTCCAGCAAGATAATGACCCGAACCACACTTCAAATCTCGCAAAGAAATTTTTTCTGGATGAAAAAATACCAGTTCTCCAATGGCCCGCACAGTCTCCTGATATAAACCCCATTGAAAATCTATGGGAATAGTTAGATAAGCAAATACGAGATAAACATTATTCAAACAAGTATGAACTTTTTGCCGCTTTAGAGCAAAAGTGGAGACAGATTGATTAATCTTATATCAAGAAACTTCTACAATCTATGCCGAGACGATGCCAGGCGGTGATTGATAATAATGGTTATGCTACAAAATATTAACACAAACATGGTTGGTTTCCCATAATTCAATAAACTTTGCTTCTTTTTTCTATAATTGTTGTGAGTAGAGTTGTTCTTAGCTGATTTCCGAATAAATATGCTGCAATTTTATCTGCTGATGTTGCAACACAACACAGAAAAGGCAAACCAAGAACTAAGTTGTTTCTTAATGTGAAGCATTGGGTAACAAATTCGATCATCAGAGCATCCGTTTAAAAGCCCTGCCTGCAAAAAAAAAATACCCTAGGTGTGACAAACAAAGCCTCAAGTGATATCCACAAATCTTCAGGTTGTACGCCTACGAATTTTCAAGCGCTAAATCCTTAGATTGAATCGGAAGGTCGAGCATGTTTTTTTATTTTGATGTTCGTGAGTTTTTGGCGGCACTTGGAGGATGTGGAAACAATCAAGGCAGAAACGACACGGTAAATGAAGAGCCTCACAATTGAAGACTTCGTAAAATCCCAATACTTTTCAGTTTAAAAAAATCCAAATTTCAAAGACAAATCGAATGAAGGTGCCCCGAAAAAAACTCGTGTTTTCTCTTTCACACCTACTAGATGTTCAAACATGCCCAATATGATCGAGAAAGATTGAGGGGCGTTTCCTTGGGGTAATGATCTGCTTAAGAATAAACAATTTTCATAAAAACGAAAACCAAGTTCTTCTTTAGTTGATCACCTTGATGGTCAATCAAAGAAATGCGAGTAGATTGTAACTCACCATTTGTACATCTTCCAAAATAACTTGCGGCTGCGATCCAGCTAGAACTTTCGAACATATGAAGTCTACCAGAGTAGGTTCTGGCTCGCCGATATATTCTATAATCTTCTTGTTGATCCAAGGCCTGATTTTCTTCTCCATCAACGCGTTGTCTATGACGCTCCAGTCCAACTGATACGCGAACAACGCATCTTTCTCCGTTGGTATTTGTTCTATCAGAGTTCTTATGTGCTTCCTTTTCTCCTCCTCGGATTTCTTGTCCTCTTTCTCCTTTTTGCTCTTCCTATCTTCATTGTAATCTGGAAAAAGGACAGACTCGGTTATTCATTAAATCGTCGGTCAGTTTATCTAAAGATTAGCAGAGGCACTAGATCCCGTTTTCGCTTACCTAATGGTACCAACTTCCTCTTCTTGACATGCGTGCCTGAATCGTCCTCGTCCGGATTGAACACTTCCCTGAGATCCGTTTTTTTCCTCTTGGAATCCCTCGTCGGAGAGTGTAGCGAGATGGGTTTAGACAGGGTGATTTTCATACCAGTGCCAGTGGGAGGGGGGGTAGGTTGATCATCGTGGTTCGATGCGAACGATTGCCTAGAGTCTTCTTCAGGAGGTTGGACTGTCGTCCACTAGGAAAAAAAAGAATTTGTATACCAGGGTAAAATATAATGGGTTATCCAATAGGGACGCAGGAAAGTAAACGTCAATTTGACGTAGACGCCATCTTTGTTTTCTGTCACCGACATGTCATTTTGTTAGTTGAATGTTTACCATTGATCGCTATGGAGTCGTATTCGATTGAAGACCGCATTAAAGTTATTCAAGAGCACTACAAAAATGGTGCAAAAATAAAAAACACGTTTCGCGCGCTTCGTGAACATTTCGGTCGCAACAATCGCCCAAACGAAACAACCATCGGTCGTCTGGTGCGTAAGTTCGAGGCAACAGGTTCTGTGGCAAATCTGCCAGGCTCTGGCCGGCCAAGGAGCGTTCGCACACCGGAAAATATTGCTGTTGTGAAGGAGAGTGTGAGAGACGATCCGAAACAATCAACAACGCGTCGATCCCAAGAATTGGGCATTTCGAGAACCAGTTTGCTCCGCATTCTCCACAAGGATTTGTACAAGCCTACAAGATCCAATTGACGCAAGAGCTGCGTCGGGCCGACCATTTTTCGCGCCGAACGTTCTCAGATTGGCTCCTTGAACACAGCCAAATTGATGCCAATTTTTCCTCAAAAATCATGTTCAGCGACGAAGCGCATTTCACTTTGAATGGGATGGTACACAAGCAAAATTGCCGCATCTGGGCGAACGAAAATTCCCGTGAGTATCAAGAGCACCCGATGCATCCTCAAAAAGTGACTGTGGTGTGCAATGTGGTCAAAAGGACCTTCCTTTTCCAAAAAGCGGCCGGGGACGCCGTTACCGTCAATTCTGAGCGATATCACGTGATGATAGAGGACTATTTTTTGCCGCAACTTGAAGGAATGGATATGGACGATGTTTATTTCCAACAAGACGGTGCAACATGCCACACAACCAACGTCAATATCCATCGATTGCAGTCCTTCTTCGGTGATCGCGTGATTTCGCGCAGAGGAAATGTGCCATGGCCACCAAGATCGTGCGATTTGACTCCCTTGGACTTCTTTTTACGGGGATATTTGAAAAGCAAAGTCTACGTCAACAAACCAGCCACCCTCCAAGAACTCAAAAACAACATCATTGCCGAGATAAATGCCATAGAACCGAGCATGTTGCAAAATGTCATTGAAAATTTCGATCATCGCGTGGACGTCTGTAAATCCAGTCGTGGTGAACATTTGAGCGATGTTATTTTTCATACATAAATGGTTTAAATGAACCTTCAAAATAAAGTACCCAACTTGATTTGAATATCGATCTTTCTTGTTTTAATATGCGTTTACTTACCTGCAATGTATTTATCTACTAGTACATAAAGTTGTGAAATAAGCTGATCTTTTTCCAAGCGCGACATTTACGTATAAAGCAAATTCAACTAAAAAATAAACTTTACCTGCGCAGAGTCCTTGTTATCTACGGAGTTGTGATCATGATGATCCACAGCCGGACTATAGTGATTTGCATCCATGTCACTATCACTGTCGATCGGTTCAGCTTCGACTGCTGCCAATTCTTCTGCTGCTTGCTGCAAGACGTATCTGGAAAAGATTTGTAATTATTGAAAAATTCGTATATAGGATGCGCCATCTATTACTTTTATTTTACCTATAAGTTTATGTGTTACCATGTGGTATGCATGAATGAACTGTCAAAGGTATGCCGGTTATAGTCATGGATTCGTTTACAACACAACAACGCATTTTGGTTATCCAAACTTATTATGCTGGTTCTCGTGAAAACATAGCCGCAGTGAGTGAAAGTGTGAGAAGATCCAACCACCTCGACTAGGCACCGTTCGCAACAATTGGGAATTAGTGAGACCACTTTACGCCGGATTTTACAAATTGATTTACACCTCCATCCATACAAAATCCAACTAACACAAGAATTGAAGCCGGCAGACCATGAACAGCGGCGTGTTTTTTGATAATTGGATGCTGGAAAGAGAAGAAGGATTTTTGGCCAAAGTGCTCTGTTCTGATGAGGCTCATTCTCACCTCAATGGGTACGTAAATAAGCAAAATTGCAAATTCTGGGGGGCTGAAGTTGAGACGGAGCAACGGCTCACGCATCTCGCCAAACAATCGCCTTATTGCACACTAAATTTCAAGACCGCATAATTTCACGAAATTCAGATGTCAGTTGGCCCCCGAAATCGTGCGATTTAACACCTCTTGACTATTTTCTTTGGGGATTTTTGAAAGGAAAAGTGTATGCGAATGGTCCCCGGACAATTCAAGACCTAAAGCGCAATATTCGGACTGAAATTGCGGCCATAGACCCGATTATTCTGGGAAAAGTCATTGAAAATTTTGATGTTCGGATGTTGGCCCGTAAACGAAGCCGCGGTGGTCACATGACTGATGTTATTTTTCGTACATAAATGGCATAAACCAACCTTCACTTATCAATAAAAAAAATCGATTTCACCTCGTAAAAAGCGTGTTGATTTTTCAAATAGAAAAAAGTAATCGATGACGCAACCTGTATATCTGACCCCCGTGCCAATGATTGAAAAACTTTTCTTGGATCATGACAAACAACTCTATCAACTTTCAAGCAAACATCAAAGGAAGAAAATTACTGTTATTGATTTTGACTCACTTTTCACGTTCTTCTCTCTTCCGTTGCCTCTCTCTTTCCCTTTCCATTTCTCGTATCCGTTCTCGTTCTCTAGCCCTCTGCCGTTCCATTTCTCGTTCTTTTTCTCGTTCCTTTTGTTTTGAATGTTCCAAGTTCACATCTATGAGTAGCTTGGGCTTATATTGTTCTTCTCTTTCCTTTTTCGCCTATATAAACAATTTTGTGGAATTTTTAATACATTCTTTAAACACAGCAACAAGATAATGATTAAGTAGTCTGCGAAAATGAACATGTTACAAACCTTTTCGAATTCCGCGTTTGGATCATCATGTTCGCCAGCGAATATCCTATTTTTCAACTCTTCTATTTCCTCCTTTTCCTTCAGCCTGTCCTTGTTGTCTAGTTCAGCCTCTTTCAGCCGTTCCGCTACTCGTCTTTGCAATTCTCTACCCCTAAAATCAATAATCGTCAGTTTATCGTCGTACGAAAATGATACAAAAATGTTTACTTGTAGTATTTGATGTCATCCTTCTCGTCATCGTAATCCTCCAAAAATTCCTTAAGACGTTTAGCGTCACGCTCACGTTCTTCCTCTTTCAGGCGTTCTTTTTCCCGTTCCTTTTCGTATTCCTTAGCTTTTCTTCGTTCTCTCGTCTCCCATTGCCTGTAAAATTCCAGCGTTAAAAAATCGTGCTATGAACTTGCGTCTTTTACTTACCTCAATCTTTCCTGATATGCAGCTTCCTTTTCTCTAGCCTTCCTCTCAGCTTTCTTCTTCTCTTTAGCCTCTTCTTCAATCTCCTTATCTCTAAGCAGATTCTTCGAGCTCTTCTTCTCATCTCTGTCCCTGTCTCTTTCTCGATCTCGCTCCCTGTCTCTGTCTCGCTCTCTCTCCCGTTCTCGCTCACGTTCTTTTTCGCGTTCCCGTTCTCTTTCCCGTTCACGTTCTCTCTCGCGTTCCCGTTCTCGTTCGCGTTCCCGCTCACGTTCCTTTTCTCTCTCGCGGCTCTTCTCGTGAGACCTGCAACGAGAAATGTTGCTGTTTTTATAAGGACCCTACGTCAAGATCGTACCATCTAGTGACCACATTATATACACAGGGTGGCCCAAAATATACCAGCAACAAAGTTTATACCTGCCCCTAAAAAAAAGTAATCTAAAGGACTTGGGTCCGGAGATCTCGGCAGCCACTCGATGAGAGTAACAAATAGGGGTGCGACCTTTTCGTTGGGCCACCTTGTATACAATGTACATGCGACGTCTTAGACACCACACTAAGGAAACAAAAAAATCCTCAAGGTTTCAACCAAATCTTATAACGGGTGATTTTTTAAGAGGTATAGGATTTGATTTCAAAAAAAAAAAAAACAAAAAATTTGAGAAAACGATTAAATCTTTATTTGAGTCGATAGAACGGTCGATATAATTTAATGTTTAAAGATTATTTCATGTAAATGTTGGCCCGGCTCCGCTTTAGATGGCCCATGCGCAAGATCCAATTTTGGCACACTCTCTCCAACATATCGATCGGTATCTCACGAATAAATGCTTCAATATTGGCTTCCAGTGCGTCAATCGTTGCTGGTGTATCCCTGTAGACATTAGCCTTAACATGGCCCCACAAGAAATAGTCCAACGGCGTTAAATCACACGATCTAGGCGGCCAATTGACGGGCCCCAAACGTGAGATAAACTGTTCACCGAACTCGCCTCTCAATAGGGCCATTGTTTCGTGTGCGGTGTGGCATGTGGCACAGTCTTGTTGAAACCACATGTCAGCCAAGTCCAGCTCTTCCATTTTGGGCAAAAAAAAGTTTGTTATCATCTCACGGCAGCGCTCGCCATTCACAGTTACGTTCCGGCCATTGTCGTCTTTGAAGAAGTACGGCCCGATGATGCTACCGGCCCATAATCCCCACCATACAGTGATTTTTTCGGGATGCATTGGTAGCTCTTGCAATGCTTCTGGCTGGTCTTCACTCCAGATGCGGCAATTTTGCTTGTTAACGTACCCATTCAACCAGAAATGAGCTTCGTCGCTGAACACAATTTTTCGATAAAAATGTGGATCTTTCCAACTTTGCCAGCGCCCATTCACCAAATTGGAAACGTTGTGGGAGGTGGTGTGGCTTCAATTCTTGCACCAGATGTATCTTATAAGGTTTTACACCCAAATCCAGTCGCAAAATTTTCCACGTAGTGGAGTAACAGAGGCCCAATTGCTGCGAACGGCGGCGAATCGACATTTCACGGTCATCACTAACACTGGCGGATACAGCCGCAATATTTTCTTCAGTCCTCACTCTACGTCTGCGTGTTGGTGGTTTAATGTCCAATAATGTAAACTGGGTTCGAAATTTAGTCACAAGCTTCCGAATAGCTCCCTCAGTAGGCCGACACAATTGCCCATAAATTGGAAGCAGTGCTCGATGCACTCTCTTAACCGAGCATGAATTTTGATAGTAAAATTCAATAATTTGCAAGCGTTGTTCGTTCGTAAGTCGATTCATGGTTAAATTATAGACCAAACTGAACAAGTTTGACAATGACACAAGACACGGTTCACGCGTCATCTGTCAAAAACAGTGTTGACAAAAAGATACTAGCAAAAAAATCACCCAATAGTTTTCGGAAATACCCTTCATCCCCCCCCCCCCCATCTACATTTTAAAAACGGGTTATTGAAGCTGAATCCGTATGATGGCCCAACAGAAAAAAAAATGTTTCAAGCCCGAGGAGTGGAAAGAAGATAAAAGTTTTGCAAACAATTCTTCTTGCGCTATCTGGTAGAAATGCAGGAGAACCGTTGCTCCTAAAATTTTTCCGCTAAGAGATCTGAAAACTAGAATCTTGAAGCTACAAAATGCCTTTTTTGGAGCCATTTTTCACCGAAATAGAGCCTGTCAGCGATCACCGAAATATTTGAATTTTTTTCTTGCTCGCTTAAATTTCTTGAATAGTGTATATAAAATCTTACCTGGACCTCGAATGCCTTCGTTTTTCCTTCTCCTTCTTTCTCGCCGGACTAGGAGAGTGCGTATGCGACCTATCCCTTTCCCTCTCTCGATCCGCTCTATCTCTATCCTTATCACGCGTTCTTTCTTTACCTTCCTTTTCTCTCTTTCTAACTTCCTTCTCCTCCTCTTGTTTCTAAAAAGAGATCGTATAAGCAAAAAAAATCCGACGGACACACCGGAACGTATTCAAAAATGAAAATAAAAAAATCTCATACCAAAATTGCTGGTCAACTCACTATGTTTCTCTTTTACACATTTTTGTCATTTTTTTTATATCACAATCTGTGAGCGAAAGAGATAGAGCGATAGGTTAAATGCTGGAATAAAATTCAGAACGAATCCGTTCCGTGTTAGTGGTTTTAATTTCAAAATGGAGATGGACATCCATTACAAAAGTAAAACGGGTCATTCGAAAATATTCTACGAGGAACAATTTATATGTTCATGGATAAAATGCAAGATACCTTGTAAGGCGTCTAAGTATTATAAAATAGTTCAGAGCTTCATACCTAGACAAGTCTCGTTTTAATCCTATAGGGAGAAAGTGTTTTTTTAAACTTAATTCTTGTACAAATATCAAGAAAAACTCGCCTGGTAAGTAGAAGTGTAAAAATCGAATCTAGTCGAGCACTGAGACAAGCGTTTGATTTTTTTCCATTAGGCAGTGTAAGAGTTGGTAATACACTTAAAAATGATACATAGGTATCTTGATTTTGTCCATGAAAATACACAATTTATTAAAATATTTATTTCATGCACAATGTGTCTTGAAAATATATCAACCTATCAGGGTTAATCTCTAGCTCTCCCCTTGAGCTAGTGTTATCAATTGTTGTAACTTGCATCCTTTTAGACAAATAACACCAGTCTAAAACACTTCCTAATATGCCATATACAGTAATGGACAAAAGTATATAGGCAAATATATAAGACTATATAATGTAATGAAACTAACGCCAACTACAGAGAATACCGACTGCTACAACCAATATAAAAATAAATTTATAGAGCTTGTAAGGCAAACCAAACGAAAACATTACCTAAATAAATTGAATAATAACTTAAATGATCCTAAGCGGCTTTGGACAACTATTGATGAGATTACTGGGAGAACAAAAGTTAAAGAGTGTGTCACTGAGTTAAATACAACATCGGGAACAGTATTAAAAAATACTCAACAGATATGCGATGAATTTGTACAATTCTTTACTGACATAGGCGAAAATTTAGCAAGTAATATACAAGCAAATGTACAAAATACTCAGCCTCCAAAAAGAACTTTGAACTCATTTATTTTGGATAAAGTCGAGCAATGTGAAGTATACACCACGTTATGTCCTTAAAAAATCGGAAAAGTCCTGGGTTCGATGGTATTAAAAGCGAGCATTTGAAAATTATAGCCGAGGACATAACAGAACCACTCACTTACCTAATCAACAAATGCTTTGAATCTGGCATATATCCCTCAATTTTAAAAAAAGGTAATATAATACCGATACATAAATCAGGAACAAAAACAGATGTTAACAACTATAGACCAATATCAATAATATCCAGTGTAGCAAAGGTTTTTGAAAAAGTTTTATCTACTAAAATGATTCGATACCTCACAAAATTCAAAATTTTAAGTGAAAATCAATATGGATTTACAGAAGGGAAGGCTACATCGGACGCAATAACTAAAATTGTAAATCAAATACATCAAAATATTGATAGCAGAATCCCTTCAATCTGCATTTTTGTTGATTTAAAGAAAGCTTTCGACACAGTTAATCACAAATTATTATTAGAATCATTGGAGAGAATTGGTTTCGGAGGAAACGCGTACTCACTGATCGAAAGTTATTTGTCAAATCGCCCACAATCTGTGCAGATATCAGGATCATTTAGTAAAGAAATGTATATTAGGTGTGGTGTCCCACAAGGAACTGTCTTAGGTCCGCTGTTATTCAATATATATTTAAATGATATTTTCCAAATTAATTGTGTTGGCAAAATAACTAGTTTTGCAGATGATACTGCAATATTATATGAAGGCACTGACTGGTCTGATCTGAAAAATGTAATTGAAAATGATTTTATCAAAATTATACGGTGGTTTAACAGTAGAAAATTAAGCATTAACTACTCTAAAACACATTTTTTATCATTTGGATCTTATGCTAGACATCTGCCAAATTACACAAATTTCTCCTTCAATATTAATGATCAAAAAATGCAAATTAATAGAGTGCCCAACATAAAATACCTTGGAGTGGTCTTGGATCCTCACTTACGATGGGACATCCATGTCAATTATATTTTAAAGAAAGTTAGATTTGTATCCTACAAAATTAAATACCTTGGGAATATATTGACAGAAAAATATCTTCGAACATTATACCATGCACTGATTAAGCTTCATCTCACATATGGTAAATTAGCATGGGGAGCTGCATGTTCCTCAAATATCTATAATTTAGATGTTTTTCAAAAAAGTATTCTAAAAATGATATTTAAAAAACCGAAACTTTATCCCACTGAAAAATTATACGCAGATGTTCGAATGTATGACATAAGACAGCTTTATTTCTTACACAGTATCACTCACTACCATAAATTTGTAAACACCGACCAAAAAATTAAACATAATCATTATACCAGGTACAAAATTCGTGGCACAGTAGTTCCTCAACCGCATAAATCTATAATGCAGCGATCATATCTCTATTTAGCGCCTAAATTTTATGAAATTATACCAAAAGACTTAAAAGATTTACGTTTCGGAAATTGTTTCAAAAGAAATTTAAAAAAGTGGCTACATTCTATATCTAGGACTGAAATTCATAAACTCATAAATACGAAAATCAACTAAATACATAATCTACTGTAGCTAATTTTTGTCCTTTTTTGTCATTTGCATTCTACAGTTTCATTTTAAATTTATTGGTCCATATACAGGCGATGCCTTCTATTGGGCCTGTTTTGATTTTATATTTATTTACTCATATTTTTTGTTATCTTTGTACATTGAGTGAATAAATATTATTATTATTATAAATATGAATATTTACCTAAATAAAATGCGTTATTAGTAGACACACTAAATTCCTTGTTTTTACATTATCTGCAATGAACACAATACAAGACTGAATATAAACACTTTTTTATGAGGGACAAAAATATGTGGACGAATTCTTTTCAACATTAGTTTAGTACAGTTTCGTGCCAGAAGAGGATTAGTTTGTGTTCATCAAGTATTTTGGAATAAGTTGAGTGATTTTAAGACCATGCCGTGTGGTCCAGAAATTTCTTTCGATGTGAAAACTAAGATCATGCACGGTTGCACCTTGATTGGAGCATCTGTGACTGGAAGAGGGCATGTTTCAGTGACGAATCCAAGTTCAATATGTTTCTATCAGATGGTGTTCATTACGTTAGATGTCCTAGTGGACAAAGATTGAACCCCGAGTACACTTTGCCCATGGAGGCGGGTCTGTTATGGTTTGGGGGTGCTTTTCGGGGTTTCGGATGGGACCTTTACATAGAATAGATGACATTATGGATAAGTTGGTATACACAGACATACTAAAGCATGTCATGTTACCCTATATGGAAGACAATATGCCCTTAAGATCAATCTACCAGCAAGATAATAACCCGAAGCACACTTCAAATCTCGCAAATAAATTCTTTCTGGATGAAAAAATACCAGTTCTCAAATAGCCTTTACAGTCTCCCGATATAAACCCCAATGACAATTTTTTGCAAAAACGGTATCCATTTAACCTGATGATTTTTTTAAAATAACTTTTAATAATGCAAACGTAGCTTTATTGCAAGAGAAACAGGGGAGAAGCATAATCATCAACCCTGATAGCTGGAGTAGATGTTCCCAAAATATTGTCGAATGAGAACATACAAAATATGCATAATATTATAGTAAATATATTTCTACGTGAACATTTTACAACACTTACACTCAAACTGAAGCTGACTATCCCTAGTGTGACAGAGAGAGAAGTAGATCCGTAGAGACTTGTGAGCGCGATTCTTCGTAATCGACAACGTAGATATAAATAAAAAAATATAAGCCACGGAACGTAACTTACGAATACGTTCACGCAGCCGAATATAGGCATATAATCTAATAAGAAATCTAATATAGGCAATACGTAGTAGGTAAATGTGCTAACATTGAAAAAAAATCAAAATCGGAAATGGTGTTCAGGTTCGTCTACAGTCACATCTTTTCGATTGTTGGTATAAAATAATCGATGACTCAACGATTTCAACAGCCAGGTAGTTGAATCATAAAGAATTTTATTATTATACTAAGTGACATATAAATCCGAACACCCAGTTTAAATGGTTTTATTTTAGTAAAAGTTGGTGAATGTATTTATCTTACTGTAAATAACAAGTGAAAACATTTTCAGCCTTATCAGTTGGACATTCCGGTTTTTATACTGCTTTTTTTTAATTCACTAACGCTCTAAAAATGAATATTTCAGCCGCAGTAAAGAATCAACGTTGGCGGATTTTGGTTCTTGACATCCTTTACGATCGATTACGATGCCTAGAGTACGGAGACCTGTACGATTTCGTCAACTTAGTGAGTTTGATAGGGGCCGTATAGTGGGACTTCGGGAAGCTGGACTTTCTTTTCGGGCAATTGGAGTTAGAGTGCAAAGAAGTGTAGACACTCTGGTTAGGTGTTGTCAGGCATGGCTTCGAGAAGGCCGTACGCAAAGAGCAAGGGGCACTAGACGCCGCCGTAGAACAACAGACCGTGAAGATCGCCGCCTAAGATTATTGGCCTTAAGGGACCGTTTCTCCACTACCAGGTCCATTGCAAATGAATGGTTTGCAGAACATGGAAGACCTATTGGCATGCGAAGTGTTTACCGACGAATGAGAAGTATTGGCTTGTTTTCATACCGGCCACACTGGGTCCTCCCTTTAACTCGAGAACACCGACGTAATCGCCTTGAGTGGTGCAGACAACGGTCACTCTGGGATCAGGAATGGAACACGTCACTTTAGTGACGAGTCTCTGTTTAGGCATGCACGATGGTCGTGCCAGGGTTAGAAGGCGACGTGGTGAAAGGAGGAATCCACAGTTTTTTGTTGAAAGACATGTTGATCACACTG